CATGCTCGACAATGAAACTGTTGATGTTTCAAAACTAGTCGCCATAGACTAATTTTGGGATTGGTAACGTAAAGTATGTTAACCTATTTATAATGTAAAATAAAAGCCTGAGAAGAAAAAGATTTTCTCGGAAAGCGATATGACAAATAAGTCCCAGACTTAAGCCAGGGGTGGGAAGAGCCCCATGCACGATATAATATAAAAATATATCAAAGTGTATTTCGTCAACATCACCTTCTTCTCTTGGTATCCATGGATAAGTGTTATCTGACCTTGACAATCCCTTGGACTGTGTAAGCTTCGGATAGGTTACTGCAAGGAGACGTGCTTTGGTAAATGTTAATGGGATTGTGACCTTGCCTCTGATGGGCCTTTGATTCGATCTTTTAAAGCAACTTTGCCATCTTCTTTGCCAGGTAATAGAGTGTCTCTAACTAGCTTCCAGAGATTTTCAGAGTTGCTAAGAAATCTATAGCTGGTTTCCACGGCGCTTTTTTGATGCGGATGCATACAAACTATTACATGTGCATTTTCCTGGGTTAGATAATATTCATAATGCTTTGTACTCTTCGATATTTTAAAGCCTAGTACTAAATTCCCACTAACGTATTTGAATAAAGATTTAAGTATTAATAAAATTTAAAGGTTTATGGTCTTATCGATAGCTGAATTGTTAATGTATACCTGTTTTTATACGTGAAAATAACTCTAGAGAAAGAGAAATTAAATGTGACTAAAAATCAGAAATGTTAAGGGTATTTTTTAAAATGTGTTTATATGTAAAATGATTAATTTTTTTGAAAAATTTAAAATATAATTTTATAATGGATAGAGACAGTTGGGTTGAAAAATTACTAATGTTAGAGAAGGATATACTGAAAGAATAATACTGGTAATAGAGGAAAAAGTGAGAGTATGTGTTATGGAAAAAGGTGAGAAACAAATTAGGAATGGTCATTTTATACAAACAAGTATTTTATTTTACTTAGCGTAATTTATCATCTCATAGTTTATTATAAGAGCTGCATATAAACAAATATTTAATTGACATAATGTTTGTATGGAAGATTCGGGTAGTTCTATGGTTGAAAAATTTATTAAAGTAATTGAATTTTGTAATTGAAAAGTCTTGTATTAGTATTTTTTATATCTTAATGTAGAACATTCTTGATTGTTAGGACTTGTATGTTTAAATAGATCTAGACCAAGTTTGTGTAGCTGTTCTGGTTTGTTAAATGTCATGTTTTGTATAATTAAATACGTATTATATATATATATATATATATATATATATATATATATATGTAATGCAAATGAATCTTTGTATTTTAAGTTATAAGTTGGTAAATGGTTGTCAACCTATTTAGTTCATATGTTACATCTCTAACTTCTAATATTGAATATTCTGAATATATTGGTTAGTTACTGTTGACTATTCTTTAATTCAATTTTCTTAACATTGAATTTTCTATGAAACCTTTTTATTTCATCATTATTGATTTACCCAAATTAAATTGTATGTTTTTATTATTTAGCATCCCATTTTTATTCAATGGAATTAATTTAGTTTTGTAGTTAAAAACTAGAGTTTTTAATTAAGTATTATCTTTAATTAAATTCTATGATCACCAATATACCTCTAAGGGCTATATTTATTTGTATACCCATACACATATTTCTTGTATTTTCGCCAAGTTTCTTTGATAGGTAATATAAAATCCAAATTTTAGAAAAAGCTAAGGTTTTTTTTAATCATTCAATGAAACTAGTAATTGGTACTATTTTACCACCTATTTTTCACACTTAATCTGTTATATTTATAAATAACCATTTGCTTAGTCGAAAAGTTTTCTCCACTGAAATAAAAAAACTTTTTTAACTCCAGTTATATTTGACATACTGTATTATGTTGTAAATAAGATTTAATGTACCATGTCACTGTAAACCAATTATAAATAGCGGATTTAATTACTGTAGATACAGTAGTCGTTATAGAAAAGAAATTTGGAATAAAAATCCCATGTTAAATTCCGAATCACTTGTAGTAAATATTACGGTAGTTTAAGTATATTTTAATACCGAATCGACTCTTATCAGAGTCACTAAAAGTATCACTTCTTAAATACAACTGTGTTCAAAGCGATATTTATATAATTTTTAACAAATTTTCCTCTAACTAAAAATATTTAGGTAGGAAATTTAACTTAGATGATTTAAATTGAATATTCCTTCTCGTTTATTTATCTTATGATTTACTTGTTTCCCAATGGAAACTTGACAATATACACATAACAAAAGTGTCAAGCAATCATACGATACAGCTTTACAATAAATAAAAACTGTAAAAGTCACAATAGGAAGAGTTAACAACAACTTCTCAATTCTCAAGAGGAGTTATGTTTTATATTTTGTATTACATTCTGGAAATGTATTTTTAACCTATTTACAAATGCTTTCGTGCTTGAGTGGTAAATGAGTCAACCCAATTTCAAACTAAGTATAAAGTAAAGTCCATCATAAAAGGTAGTGATAAAACCATGTAGTTGGGAACTCCTCGTTGAAAAGTAAGTCTTTTAAGAACCGCATTTTCTTCTACCTCAAAAATCCTTGCGACCTTTGCATAATTCTGCCAAGCACTAAAGAATACATTATACTGCATATTAATAATGTTTTCAACTTGAACATAAAAATTTAGAAAGTTTCTCTTTTGGAATAAAATAGGACATTAACCTATCACCCACTATCATTGGATGACAGATCAAGGAGGACTTTTCAAACCGAGCATTTCTATATATTATCCCACACTTTACTACTGTAATTATTTTAAGTATTATTGACACATATATTAGCAGATGCAATTATTATATCCTATGACAGCCAATATGATAAGGCAAGTGGCATTGGACATAGCCTAAAACATTGGTTATTTATCTAAATAACTTCTTAAACAGTATTGTACGTGTTATTAAATTTACGGAAAGTAAATAAAAGAAACGTGTTATAGCTTATTAAGACTTAAATATCTAGCGCATCAATGACGGTTTTACAAATCATAAAATATATTAACTTAACTAACTAATAAAAGTGTTAAGTTGAAAAGGAATCAAATAAGCCATTTTACAGGAACAGTAGGAACTAAATGCTCCTTTTGAATATAGTAAAAATAAGAAGTATTGCCAAAACAAAGAATTTCAAAGAAAAATATAGTAGTGTAATATGATTTTTAAATCAACCTGAAAATGTATTTTTCAAATTAAATTTTTGACAACAAGTTCTCCATTTAATTAATAAACAGAGCATTGTATTTTCCATCTACTATTGCTTTTAACATGTTATACTGAATACTTATCATAGATTAATTGTAAAAGTCAATTTTGGGCTTGCATATTTTGAAAACACTCACTTTATGGGTAAGAAGCCATGCAACACCGTTTGAGTAGGCAGTTATTATTTTTGGTATAATAACCAAACATACTAAGACTTAACTACAGTGACGAAAAGAAGATAATTACAGACGATAAAATGTTGGTTTTGACAAATTATACTTTACACTAACAGTTTTTAAACGTGTGTGTGTTAAAATTTCGTGTATCTTCGATATGGATTAGGTCCTACCTGAAAAAAGCTGGTATTGATAATTGACACAACTACATCTAATTCATTTTTCAATTTCTCACCTCAATTGTTAATAATTATAGTACTTTAATTTTCAAGCTTATACAAACTTGAATATATACAAGTAAACTAAAAAGAAATAAGTTACTTTTAATTTAACCTGAAACGGATTTGTAACTTTATATATAAATTGGTAAAAAGATGAAAGTAAATTCCACTGTGAATCTTACGATGAGAGCTTCTCAAAAAATACTGTAAAACTAAATACCAAGTCATACCACCAATTTCTAACAAGGCAAACTATTAGAATGATTTTCATATTGAACAGGATTGATTTAAAGTCATACATTGTCAACGCGACGATTTAATTTACAATTTCTGCTCTATATTGTAAGCTTAATTAGCCTCTGCATGTAAGGGTTAAAAGATTCTTTTGTTCATATCATAAATGCGCATTTAGTGTCCATTTGGTGCAGATAAACTTTGTATGGTTTTGCACCTGTTGTAAACATGCATTTATCCATTTTTGTTCAATAAATAACTTGATTGTTCCAACTAATCTTTTGGATTCAGCACACACACGTTATGGTTAATATATTTTTTATCATTCAATATTTACTTTTATTGTATCCCAGAAAAACCATGATACTGTACTTCAATTAAGGCAGTTGAATTACACTTAGGCCTGTTACATTAACTTATGATAATATATGTTAAAAATTCTTCAAAACAAACCCAATTAATTAATTTTTATTTCACAATCTACGTCTTATTAGATTTTATCCAATACCTAGAGTTGACGAGCTGATTGTAAACTGTATTTGCTCATGAAATACTATAAATTTTTTTAAATTTGTTGATGAAAATGGCATTGAATAAAAAAAATGTAAGACCTTTTACACCTAATTCTTATACTTGATCGTTGTTAAAGCTAATACATGCATTATGTTTAATTTATCAGATGTTTTTCTCCGTGCATTTGTTATTGTAAAAATTTGTGTATTTTTTCTTATTGGATATTATTCATGCAGTGAATTAGTTATTGCAATAGTTTTTGAATACTAAATTAGACATTGCACTTAAATAGACTAATGTAGTCAATTTGTATTGAAATAGAACACAGTCCAATGAGCCACACGAAAGGTTGCTGCGGTTTACATTCCAATTTATCCTTTAGTAGTAGAAAATCTCAATGCTATGGCTTACACAAAAAGTTATCGTCTTTTCAGTTTTGTTTGGTTAAAACATTCACGTATTCTAAGGATATATTATTTTATCAGTGGCTCAAAATGACTACAATGATTTTTATTTTAACCATCAGTAGGGCCAACGTAAGAATTGGATGCATACTAAATCAAAGGTTATAGTAACTAGGGTAGACTGACCACGTCTGACGAAGGTGAGGGCGCGGCCACGCTGGATGGTCCCCACCACCTGCCCTGGGCTGTCTGAGGGGGTGACGCCATCACCTGTGCTCCATATCACTCTTATCACTGGTATCACCCGCGTCCGCCACCGGTCAAACCGCGCGCTCAAGTCTCCAGTACAACTCGCGCTACCCCACACAGCCGCAAATCTTATCACTCGATATAATTTATTATTTTTTTAGCAACGTAATTAAATAGACTTGAATATGGTCTCACAACGTTTTCGTAAGGGTTACACGTTGTCGACACCCACTGCACTGTATTTACTGAGGACGAATTTTCCCGCGGTTTTCCCACCCCTAGTCACGTGATGCGGAAGTGGCTGTCCGCACGTGTCCGCGGTTGGAGACGATGTCGATGGATAAGTGTTGCGGCTCATCTTCGCGAGTTCCGCGACGCTCCGCGAGGTGGCAGCACCTTCCGTCTCCCTCCCACTCCCCCCACCGGGACTTTCCCTCCCCCCGATGTCATTGGCTAACCGGCTAATTACCCCACGGCCATCTTATAAGCGGTCATTAGTGATTCATTGGGCGAGCAACACAGCATAACTCGGCGACACTTCCCGATACAGGTGTGATCGGACGTGTGTATCTTTCATCTATATGCAAATCCCGGCCACGGGGCTCGGCCGGGTTCCCATGGCCCGTTTACCCCAGTCGGAGGTTATTTTCAGCTATTAGTGACAATTAGAAGCAATACGGACAATGCTGCGGATAATTTACGATTGGACCCGCTCTTGTCTTTAGCTAGGAATTTAGTAATTTCGAAATAACCGGTTGTGAGAAATGTGAGCAGGGTTTATTGCATGAGTGTACCTTGTTGGTGCTACTGTTGTTGGTTGTGGGGGTTACAGTTATTTGATTGATTTTGATTGTCCAACAGAAAACTTTACTTTTTTTTTTCTACGCCAGTGGCATTTCACACGAGAAGTTACGACAGATCAAAGTTTAGTGGATGTGCCGGGGATTGAACCCGTCCCTCCCGCACCGAAGTCCGAGACGCTAACCACTAGGCTAGCAACACAACCTACTTCAAGATAAATTAATGACATTAGTTTATAAAAGGTTTAAGGACTTTCCAATTTTCCTTGATACGTTTAATATGTGTGAGATATTCTGGATCTTATGTGTTTAGTGTATGAATTTTCATGTACTTTAAATACGAATTACCTTAGCCAAGTCTCTCTATAGAGTCGGAACAGTGTGACAGAATAACTGGACAATTTGACAAATTCCCTCAGGTTCAGGTGAGAGACCACAAATGCCGCAAATGCAAAATGGTACAAATTCTAGTAATGCACAAGATTGCCTCCACATTAGACGGACTATAGGACTACACTGTAGCAGGAAAAACATACTAGTGCTTAGGGCTATTTCCTTCCGTCATCTTAGCTGTGGTTTTGGCAGTGAATTGTCGAGCGAATTCGGCCGGCGCCGTCTCCCGTCCCAAATGTGTGCGGTATCCTTATTTTGATTGCTGTAGATCTCCCAGAGTGGTATTCTCGTTTTGAGTAATTCCGAGTTGATTTGGACAAACAGAAGGTCAATTGCATTCGTGACTTTGCTGTCGGTTTTTATTTCGACCCTAGAATCATACTAATGTGTAGTTTACTCTCGGTCGAAATGTTTACTTAAATTTGCTGTTTGGATTTATAGTGGTTTTTACAATTTTGTTTACTTTGTTTTTTTATACCTTTTTATTGAAACTAAGTGTGCGACAAAACAGTTTAACAACAGACCTGCTTTAATGAACTGTAATAAAAATTATCCATGTATGTATCCATGCAAAGGAGTCAGTAAGTGAATACTCTACCAGGTATAATTTAAAACTTAATGTAACATTATGAATAATGTTGACGAACTGTAAGCTTGCCATCGCTTTTTAATATTTTTCATATTTTTATGCTTGGAATAATAATTTAAAATAAACATTTTAATACAACAATGTATTAATATATAATTTATATTGTTCTTGGTCGATTTAAAATTTTAAGTAGTAAATATAATGATGGTTTTTTACTTTTCACGGTCAAATATCAGTCTCTATGTTATATTGTTAAACTCAATATGTTTACAAAAATCTACAAAACGGGAAGCTTCCTCGTGATCCCTCTGTCTTGTACGCAAAACAATAAAACCTTATAGTGGTTACCCTAAACAAAAGAGATCGTCGACTCCGTTTAATTATCCTTTCTATTTAAATCCCACAAAGGTACAAAGCGTGCGGGACAAATTAGCACGCAAATAAGGCGCTGGATTCTCCCAATTACAATATGGGGATGATCTCGGAATTCCCGGGGACCGTGTTCGCGCCAATTTATGGTTATTAGCCGCCTGACAGTACGCATGCGCGGTGCATTGTTCTCGGCCGGCGCAGTGCTCCAAGTCCTGCGCAGTGCCATTCACACAAGAGTACGCGGCCCCCTGCCGACTCACGTGATTGTATGGGCGAATAACTAATCCGGCGCATATGAGAGGCCATTGTACGGACTGTTTATTAAGCAATACTGATCTGGTTCGTATTCATACGAACGATCCTTGAAATTTACACTGTGAAATCGGATTGCATTTGAGTGTAATGTACGCAAAACCAGAACTAGTATTGCAGACTATTGCAGGGGGGTGTTGTAGAGTTGATTGAATTACATTTTGAGGTTGTTTAAAGGCAATGGATATTTTTTATTGAACATCTATACCTGATTAACTTGGAAGGGGTAATGACACCTCTCCTATAGTTTTGAACCGATTTGGATGTTTTTTAAGTCATTCTAAAGGGATCACTCTGTAATTGTGTTTCCCTTAAAATGAAATCAATGTATTCTAAGGGCTTCGCCTCAGTGTTTTTTAAAGTCATGATAATCTTGTGGACTAATAATATGAAACTCAGCTGTTTTAAATATATATATATTATTGTACTTCAACCTTCTTGACTGTGCTTTTTTGTTTATTTAATTATTTTTTATTACTTTTGGAATCTAAAAATTATTACTTTGGATTAAAAAGAAATATAATGCAAGTGAGGATACAAGCTGCAAGGTTTTTTTTTATCAAATTGCTTTACTTCTATGATTTTTTACTGTGAACTGTGGGTAATAGTGTTAGCCCATCCCATTAAACGAGTCTTCCGTGTCTTGTATCAGTATTGTTTATTAATAAGTTGATGTTAGATAAGGAGTAAAGTTACTGTTTATTTTTCAACAACTTATAAATAAAAAATAAATAACTTTAAAACATAAGCCTAAAATCATTGACTAGACAAAAATGATCTGATATTACGTTTGAATGTTCTGTTGAAAATAAAGGGTCAAGAGTCATTCATCTACGGTAAATATGAAAATCACAAGAGCATATAGATAGCATATAGAGCATATGGATGGCTTTACTTAATGAAAAGCTAGTCGTTTCTCCTCCATAACCAGATCCTTACAAAGTTAGAATGACATGTGATATTGAATCCGTGATCCGTGAATCTATGAACAAAACTACGATAAAACATATCAGCTCAAAGAAATATAAATATAATAGTTTAGAAAATATTATTTATTTAGTGAAAAACCTTTAATCCCGTAGCTGTCAGCGTTCATATATGTTAGTGAAGAAAGAAGATAAGATAAAAAAAGAAAAGAAAGAAAAGAAAGAAATTAAAGAAAAGGAGGAAAAGAAAGAAAAGAAAGAAAAGTAAAAAAGAAAGAAAAGAAAGAAGAAAGGTGTTAGGCGTAATATCAAGAAGAGGTAAATTGCTTTGTTTTTAACGGATTAACCACAACAGCAGCTGAACTGTCATACTTTTTAGTGAAGCTCTCCGCAGCTCCAATCTTCAAATGGTTCACTAACGTGACTTTCAATGTGGCATCCGTATAGTTTTGATGTAATTTCAATATAATATCGTTTCTCTTCCAAGTATTTGTTGTTTGGGAAACTTCTTACATATACGACTCTCAAACCCAAACGTATTTGGGTGATAAGTAAAACTAGTGCGAACTATTAATATTATAAAGATTTCCACTAGGTTTAGATCAATTTCCCGAACTATCACTAAAGAAGGCTGGAATCAGAACCGAGTATATTGCGTATCCAATATTATCATTGAACTGCCTCATACATTCACAAGCAAAATTAATTCAAAACTAGCGCAGTGCGCGGGCGTACACAAAAGCCGCCACATTTCCAAATCCGCCTTAAATGGCGCGGGTAGAAAGCACCGCGCTTGTTAGAGGCGGTTTAGGTTATTTGGTTGTGAGTATGTAGTAATGCGGACCACGTCCTGTGTGTCACCAGTTTAGCGGGAGATTGGTCCAATTAAAGTCTGTGATCGGTGCGGTACCGCCACCGCCACCGCCACCGCCAAGCGCGTCCTCCCACCGAGACCTGCCTCATGTCGGTACACCGCTACCGTGCACAGGTTAGTCTACTGTGTACCGGAGGATCAAATATGTGATCTTATGCTGTTTTGCATTATGACAATGATTAAGTTTTTCAAAGAATTAGTATTTAGGTAAAATTGATTCTCGCTCATTGAAATCGGCAAATAATATTGATCTTATTTAGTTAAAGTATGACAAATTATGATAAACCATTTAACTAACAGCTTATCTATTTAAATATTTTTTTTAAGTTTAGTTTCTAGCCCGGAGACGTTTTCCATACAACCCCAGGGATTGTCATTTGGATAAAACTCATGGTGATTTGAACCCAGGACCTCGGCCACTAAAATCCCACTTTCTACCATTAGACCAGCTCGCTCCCCTGCCCTGGCTATGAGAACATAGATTTTACTTTCAGGAGACTCGCCAGATACACTTACCTTTCTCGGATGAAAGTAATTTTAATTTGATAACTGATATCATTAACATTAGTACATGACTTTTTTATTAGTATTACAAATGCAAAGCAATTGAACTACAGTAGTACGGACAACAATAATACACCAATGATTACATCTAGTTTACCCGTGTATGAAATTACAGTTTTATACAATTTTGATAGATGAAATTAAACTTTAAACTAACATCAACTTACTTGATCTTTATAAACTTTTATAATAGTGCTTAATCCTCGGGGTTTTCAACAAGTTGAGAATCAGTTGACACTGACCAATACAGATGACATTTACATTATATTTAAAAAATATATGCTATATGTGTATTTCCGGGACGTTTTATAATTGTCATGTAACATTTTTTGCCTGATCTACCAGGAAACACGTATTTTCGTTCGTTTTAGAATTGTGTATTTGAGGGTGTATTTGTGTTGGGCTATGTGAGAAAATGGATGATTGTATACAGATTGAGATTATATTAATAGTCAGAATTTTATGAAATTAGATACAATGCTCCAATCATCTCTTGGTTCATAAATTCAAATTTTAACCCGTGATTTATAGTTTAAGGGTATTAACGCTATAAAACATAATATTTACATTTTTTTCATGACTTAAAACAAGAATACAAACCATGAGTTAACGTCTGTTCATTGATTAGGATAATCATGGAATATTTAACCGTATGTGTAACATTTAAGGTCAACATAAACATGTCATCATGATAACATAACATATACGATTATAATTAAAAAAAACTATTTATTTTAGTGTCGATCACGATTGGTGATCAATTCATAATTGATTGGTAATTTGGGGAAGGGGCGAATAAAAGTCTAGCACATATATGAACATTTATACAAATCCCTGTAGCTGTTCGTACGTTATCTTCACCATCTCGGCCTCAACTTCCTCCCTGAGTCTGTCCCCGTTGATGGGAACCATCCTGGGCAGATCCATCAAGCTGTAGGCCTCGTATGTTCTGCAACAACAAGTAGAAAGTGATAGAATCTCGTTTTTTGGTAAAACCTCTACCTACTTAAATATTCCATCACCAAATTCCATTTTAACTCAAATGTTATGATACAAAACTTATTGCTATAAATATAGAGAAACTCTTAGGTATCTACTGCACTATTATTCCCAATTTACAATTGATACTAACGATTCTCTGAAGACTTTGGAGGTTGCTGGTTTGCCAGTGTCCGGCAGCTTGAAGAGTCTTCTCTCATCATTGGCGGCGATGAAGAAGCTGATGTCAGGGATGAGCAGGTCTTGGGGGAAATTGTAGATGGGAGACCCTGGCACCGGTAGGTTCTGTCTTATGCCGGCCAGCTTGGCTAGGGCAAAGGCCGTCAACCCGTGCCAGTACCTGGAGAACATGTGCTGAGTAAAAGCAAAAAAGATGTAGAAGCTAAAAAATTGTATCGAAAGGGAAATGAGTAGGGTTCATAGTGTTAGCCTCAGAATTACTTTGTAGTTAAAATAATCTTTGTTTAAACGCCTTTACTGCCGAAGTTATTCTTGTAGTCTGTCTATAATTGTTTTGGACTCTCAAAGGGAGTCTTCATCAGGTCAAAAGGTGTCAATTTTTAACGGTATAAAACACGTAAGTTTTTTGTAACACAACACTAAATACAATCATACATCAAAACGTACACATACTTTTGGTCAATTAATTACAAAGTAAAATGTTCGGGGACGTATATGATGTGGCAGACTGGTCTAGAATAAAAAAAATTAAAAGAATCAGTATTGGCATTAAAATAACCAATTTTCCTAGCCCAGTTTATTTGAACGGAATAATTAAATATAAAACTAGGATGATAGTGTAGGCATAGGCGTTTGGAAATTGTTATTGTAACACTTTCAAATCTCACCCCCTTCTAGCTCAAATTGGAAAGAGACGTAAAATCTGCAGATACGTAGCTTTTGGATAAGGCATTGATAATAAGTTGTACATTTTTTACATAATAAAATAAAACTCAACTCCTTTGAAAAATACTATCATTTCCATTATATATACTTCGCATGTGTTTAGGTCAACATTTCATGCTATATTCATACGGGTGCAATACTATCTTTTGTGGTTAAAACATTTATCTAAATTGATTGATTTGTTGTTTGATTTTGGCCTTGTTCCCAAACTAATCTAAGAACTGAAACATGTTTTTTTTTTCAATTAATCTAAGTATATTGAGTACTAAAACATAGTAGTGTCAAACCTACTGATCCATGACGACTAGTCTCGTTTTGAGGATGGATTTGACCAGTTCTGCCATGAGGTAGTTGTTGAGGGCGTGGTAGGCGCTGCGAACCAGTCTAGGCTTCATGGACATCATGCCGCGGATGTTGGCTAGGTAGTCTGGAGGACTGCGGAGATAGGTGCCGTTGAGGCGCTGGGTGTACAGGCGTGCCGTGGCGGATTTGCCTGGAGAAAGATGTTTTATCAACATTGGTTTAATACTAAGTACGGTCCACAAGAGTCTGCAGTTGAGGGAGGAGCCTATTTGTACCACGTGACTTCAAAGTAGCCGATGAGGCGCATTGTTGCCAATCCTAATAATATTACCAGCTGATTTGAAAATATTGTTTAGTACATTTTAGCTAGTGTTGAAAATTAGTGCACGGGTAATGTTGCAACGCTGCTAATTTCGCATCCTTAAGAATTTTTTACGGCATAATGTATGTTGCAACGTCTTGCTATTGGCTGCCGGCAACTGCAGACTCTTGTGGCCCCTAGTGTAGATAAATATAAATACCTAGATCAATTTGTATATTTTTTAGAATTTTCCCCCGTTGCCTACCATGCGTAAGAACCACCGTTTATGGACAAATCAAGACCATAAGTTGGTAAACCTGCTTGATTCATTTCAACATCGATCAGCTGATATGAATTATTTTCATTGTTTCAACATCGTTTAGTGAAAATAGATGTGTTATGAAAAAATCTCAACTTGGTCTTCTCTAAAACACAACCCGTATTAAGGATTGAGTAACGCACAATAATAGAAAAATGAATGTTCTTTATTAATCTTTACAATGTTTATTACCTGTAGTCGTTTTAATAGTTACTGGAATCTCAACTGGTAAGTTAGGTACAACCATTCCCTGACACAAAACTAGTGATTTACTTGTAATGTTATCTTCTGCAATACATAATATTTCTGCTTCGCAAACACAATATTGATTTATTTACAATACATTTTTAAGCCCTAAACTTTACAGACAATGTAGGAATACATATCGCTGATTTCTAATGTACTATAGGAAGCAGGGTTGCCAACTTGTGGGCTTGCTTTGTCCCTAAACAGTGATTCTCTGTATATTGGAGTAAAAGAACCCTCTGTATACGTGTTTTGTCTATTTGACACCGTCTTTGCCTGAAGAAGTCTAATCTACAGTGTATGGCCGTAGAAGACAATCTATTAAGACTGAAAACATCTGTTTCTTACGGTTTTACTGACCTGATCCTTTGATACCCTCTATGACTATGAATGGTCTACGGTCAGGAGTGCCATCGGGCTTCTCCCTTGGCCACTGGGACAGCTGGTTGTTGAGCATCTTCTGGTACAGGTCTTGCACCTGCGGGATGGACATCAGCTCTCTCTGTAACAATACCAATTATCTAGTAAGGTACATTTAGCAAGGAACATTTCTTAGGTCGAAATTATACTGGCAACCTCATAAAAATGAATGAGCTTCAATCATTGACCATATGACGTTTTTCTTGTTCTAGAACTATAGCTTGGTATTTTTTCTTAAAAACTATTTCAGGCTAGGCCTAGTTGTTGTGGCATTTTTAGTCAGGAAATCCATTAATTATTGGCCGTCCAGGATTTGAACCCGTGACCTCCAGTGCACAAATACTAAACCATCTCCCTCCCTATCATATTAGTGATGTAGTTTGCTTCTTGTATCAATGTTGAACTATCATTTGTATCCATCTAGTTAAGTACAGTAAAATTGTAAGTAAAACTTATTGTTATATATGTAATTTGGTCTACTAGGTGAAGGTGAAAGGAAAACCAAATTTAACGTATAATATTCTCTCCAGTAGGCATCCAAATTTAAAAATGTAATTACAATGTTGCTTAAATATATCTAACCGCTGGTTTAGTACATCCCATTGACGTTTCATAAAAATTTAGACTTCCATAATAACGTGATATTCAGGGTATACACGGACAGGATTGTCTACTTTGGATTAATATTATAGGATTTTAGAAACGACTTAATAATTTCCATGCTCATTATCTGTTTTGGTAGTTATTGGTACTTAAATAGCTTTCTCTTTAATAAAACAAGCATAATTATTAATAAACATTCATACAGCTCAGTACCAAATTTGCTATACACTAAATAGCATTGCTTTATTTGTTTGGTGTTACATGAAATGTTTGTGTAACAGGACACATTAAGACTTAAGTTGTTAGTGGCAAGTCAATTGTAAACTCATCACTAATATTTGCAATTACCATTCTACTGTACTCTCTTGTCTTCTGTCCTACGTTTTACTATAAAAGAATTACAATTAGAAATGTCAGTTATATGTATACTAGCTATCACACAATGATTCACTTACGATGTCCTTCAGAACATTGAATATTTCTGGAAGATTGTGGAAGATCCCAAAAGTAGAAACTTGTGAAGGGTCAAAATGCTGCACTCCTGTAAAAAATGGCATGAATTAGCTAAGTGATTCTATTGCTAATTATGGTAGATTTTATAATATAAGTGTTAGTATATAAGTACATTAATTTAGTTAAATAATGTTTTCAAGTGTGAAATTTGCACTTCAGTTCATGAAACAAGCCTACTCTAAAAGGAGGTAATAATAATAATAACTAAGTCAATCGCAAAAAAGTTCATGATCGATTCTCATTTGTAGTTCGCCATTAAGCCTTTGAAAGTTTTATTCTTTGTCTGGTGGAATTTGCTAAGTATTTTCACACCATTATGGGTTGTGGTTTATGATTCCATTAAATTTGTCACATTGCTCATAATTATTACCAGCACCAAGAGCATTATTGTTTCTGTTTACCAGTGGATGTACAGTGGTATTTTCCAAAACTGTGCTGTTGCATTAATCACTACTGTAATATATCCTTCGATCCTTGGGAAACAAAAGTAAAATTGTCTTAAAAGTAAGTTAGTTAATGTTTGGAAATATACTTTTAAATAAAACAAGAAAAAATCTAAAACATTTGAAAAAATGTTTTTATCTTGTTCATAGTATAACTTTTTTATTAAAGTACTTGGTTGATCACCTTACCTACACCTTTTTGTCCCTCTGGAGGTGAATATCCTCCAGGGCCCTCGGAATAGTGCGCCTGGTCGTAGGACGGTTCTGGTTGTGACTGGAAGGTTTCATTGGTTGAACCATCATCCAGATCCTGGGAGGCTACCAATACTAGCAGACATGCAAACCGCACCAGTCCCAGCAGAGTCATAACTAACAGTAAAAATGATACAGAAGTAAATTAATGAAAACATGTCAAATAAATTAACTACAATTAATAAAAATGTCAAAATTTTTTAACTTAAACATAGATAAATAATACCCCCTCTGTGCCAATCCAAGATTTTCATAAACTATTAGTATTTATTCCTTCTTTAAATACATTTAAATTGATTTGAATACTCAGGTTTGCTGCTACAGGGTAAAGGAAAGGTATTTATAAGATCAAATTTTACTAGTGCTGTATAGGATGAAATAATAATAAAATTTGTCGAATTTTATCTAAATATATCCACATGCAAGCAAACTACAATAGTTTACTATAGCTCCAACAAGAATCTTAAATGTATTGTTTATTTTTTTACTTTCTCCGTAACGTTTTATCGTAAAACGATGCTTCATTGGACAAAACTGTTTGTTTTTTAAGCTCAGCACGATGGCTGTAATGAAAACTTATAATTTCTGTGTTTTATGGGTGAAAATGATAAAAATAGTGATAATCAATAAATTTAAAGTATGTAAAAATATATTATAAGTAAATAAGTTTTAATAGGTCCATAGGAATGTCACATGTATAATAACCTTTATTTAGTTGGTGTTTTATATTTTGTATACCTTAACAAAAAAAGTTTAATAATGATAATCATAAAATTATAATTGATTAGAAACTAATTTAGTCATGATTTGAACACAACTTTTATTTACTTGATTAGAACTAGAAGTCTGCGAATAACAAATTTTTGAAAGGTTTTTGTTTCCCGTTCTATTGTCTGATCAGGAAAACATTTCTGATTGTACTACGCGTGTCCACGCTTTAACCCTTATAATATTGTCATCTGCAGTAAGTTGCCTGCATACTTTCCATATTCATTTACACGACCTAACAATTATATGTATTTCCGAAACGTTATAGTCAGCATCTTTTACGGAAGTTGAATTACAAAAGATTTTGTAAATAAATTTATTGGCAGTGTGTGATCATGTTCCTTTTTAGATACAGGATCAAAACTAGATTTAACTAGTTTAACTATCTTCCCCTGTAGACAAATCTTATTAAATCACTAACGTAAATTAGTAATATATTATCTATATTATTACTTGGTTTAAATATGGTTGACATCTTCAATCTAAAATCAATTGTCTTTGAAATCATCTGAAAACAATTAATGAACATTATTTTGCCTTAAGCACAAACGCAAATATATTTCAGGTTTACAACCCTGATCATCTCTAAAGTCATCTATAAATCTATTGTAAAACCATACATTTATTTTTATGCATTTTACTTTACATGGACCTTATCCAAGTTAGTAGTAAAAGCTACAAAACAAAGAGTTTTCCTAAAGTTTAACTTTTATTCACATTATGCATTATGTGTGTGCAGTATAATAAACGTTTTTTACATATCTGGTAACATTGCTATTGTAAATATGGCTACTTACTGTGACTTCTGACGCACAATGGGACTTAAATAATCTACTATCTCTCTTATCAGTCGACACATTACTGAATTACATAACTGCTATACGCCCACATTAAATATGAACAATTACAAGCAAACCAATGGTTTAATGGGGGTAAAACTTGTAAGAAGTGCGACTATATTCAGCTATTAAATAAGTTGTGATAAGCCCCATTAGGGTTTCGGGTGAACAGAACATGTATTAACAAAATATAATTTGTTTATCACGTTAAACTTTGAGTACATGTTAGTTTGACATGTAAAGAACTTTTACTTTCTCCCTTTCTACATAGTATAATATATTGAGAAAGTACTGTTTTGTCAAAACTGTAGTGTTTGGATGGAAATACCCTTTTCGGGACCCCCTGAACGCAGAAGTGGTTTCCGAAGTGATTCTGTGTGTGAATGGTAAATCATGGTACATGGTACATTAAGTTAATGTTCTAATTTTCTTTTAAACGGCTTTGAATGATTTTGATTAAAATTTAGAGTGCTGTGGTTAACTCAAAACAAAGTAATAAAACTCCCAATTCTGTAAAAATTCTCGTTTGAAAATTACAAATAAAATTGCTTAGGTATGCCTACTCTCACCACTTACCCATGATACAAGTTTTTGACAAGCTAATGGGATAAAGTAATTGTCACATTGCTGATACAGTTTATTTCCAAAATTTCTAGCTATTAGACTACACTATTGTTTCAACCGTTTACAAAACCTTCCTGAATATATGTTTATTTCCTTACTCTCTTTTAAAATTGCACCTTGATAACGTTACCCCTTTTCATAAAAGAGTATATTACTTACCGTTTATGCTTAATTATCTCTGGTCACGTTAGACAAATAAATAAAGCATGATAAAAAGGGTTTAAGTCATGCATGCCTTTATAAAGACGTTCATTAAAATGATTGTAATATATGGGGGGGGAGGGTATTCCACAAACCAGGATATAAAATCCAAATAAAAAACTTTTTGATGGCTAATTTTGGGTTCTGGTTAGTTTTTGGATTCGTTTTATATTACTGAATTCATTGATATCAAAATGAGGATTGTGAACTAAACTTAAAAGTAACGTGTTTTATTAATGGTTTGAATGAAATACAAAAACAAAAAGCAACCTAAATATCATAAAAGTGGAGAAAAGAAGTTCGTTTACATCTAAGTCCTCTTGATAACATTTTTTTGCTAGAGCCGTTGAAATACCTGTATATTTTTTATTTAATTTATACTACAATGGCCCATATTACTATTTGTTTTAAATAAAATACTGGATATGAATTCATAAAATATAAATAAAACTTGGCCTTATCCTTCCTCAGCTGTAATATTCCTGGTTATGACCTCTGATTTCGCTGCATTATTCATTTTCTATATATTACTACTAGGTCTTAAAATATCTGAACTTTAGTGGAAAAGGGAATAAAAACAATGTTTTAAATCAAACCCTGTAATATTCTGCAAGTCATGTTCTTCATTTCGTCCCCTACTTCTTCCTGTTCTCGGTCTGCAAATATTGGAACCATCCTGGGCTTGAAAAACTTGCTGTATGCTCGGAACATGCTGTGGAACAACAACTAATCCATTAGTAAAGTTTTTTTTTTCTTTTCTTAGCTATTCATTTATGACCACATTTCCCTAGGTTTCAAGGAATATAATTTATTATTAACTAATTAGCACAAAATAATTATATAAAAAGGTTAATATTCGATTGTAACTAACTATTTGTTTTTTAAAACATAAAATATTGTTACAGTTTTTACAAAAAGAAATCGGTGCAATTGTTTGCATACGATCTCTTTTTATTTAACCCCTATGCAACGTTAGTGGTACTAAGGAAAAAGAAGGTAAATTTTCAGAGTGACTTCCAATTAATTATAAAATATCATAGTTGCACTTTTCAACACACCTTTTACCACCTTGTCATTTTGTGTAGGTTTATAATATAATTTGGTAAATAAACGTAATTACATTTATCTTTATAGATTATTAAATACAACTCCGCAAATAGTAGTACTAGGAGTAGGATTTTAACAACGATTTCTAACGAATATTGTTTTCATGTTTTTTTTTTATGTATATAATGAAAACTATAAAATAAGATCATACATAAAATAAAAACAGTACAACTATTTTTGAAAGTGATAGTGTAAGTGAGTCGGTTATATATACAATACTTACATTTCTCTTATCTTCTTACTGACAGCCGGTTTGCCAGTCTCCTTCTCCCGATAATACCTCTTGTCCTCAAGGACCAGCAGGTAGAAGGAGATGTCTGGTACCAGGAGATCCTCTGGGAACTTGTACACAGGGGAAGATGTGACAGGGAGAATACCAGTGGCTCCGGAGAGACGACTTAGCTCGTAGGCCACCAGCCCATGCCAATAGCTGAGACAATAACAATAGTATGAGTGCTTTGTGGTGATGAGAGGAGCAAGCTGGTCTAGTGGATGGAGTGCAAGGCTTCGTCCCTGAGGTACTGTGTTCAAATCCCGCAAACCACCAATTGATAATACCAACCCTAATGTATAGCAATGCCGCAACCCTCTAGGTATATCCTTAAGTAATGTGGGGAAACATTTTCAGACTATAAGACCTTGGAAAAAATTTTAATGAGAGGTTTTGGCAAAATAATAAATGGAGGAAAAATTGTGGAGCTGGTTAAGAATACATACATAATTTGGAGCAATGCACGTCGGTCAATGCCAAAACATTATTGATGGTTTGTGAGCTTTTTGTGCATTAGCTCTCTAAGATTCATTGACGTAGATAAAAGTTTAAAAAGGCATAATATAAAGTCTTGAATCGATCCAAATTTGATTTCATAAACATTTTTGAACGTTCTCAGAGGCTTCCTATAAGTAAAAGCTTAAACGCTATTTGAAAGTTCATACAATTTGTACGAATCTTTAACAAAAGTAAGGTAGACAATGTCTTGAAAGTGGGTTTTGCTTAAAATATCGTTTTTCATAAAATAACAATAATGTATCCCAAATTTGTCCAAAATCCTACATGGTCACGAAAGTAAACAGTTAGGGAGCCAAAGATTAGTCCATTATTTCTTAACACATCTGTGTGATTAGTTGCTAGGTAAGTTTTGAACTTGTTATTATAAAATTATATTTCTGTATTTGAGGTTATATCTATAAAATTTTAATTATTTAAATGTGACAAATTTTTAGCTAGTTCATTGCTTAAATTCCTAACTTCATACACAGAGAAGTAAAGTACACAGGAAACATTAAATGGTAAAATTAATTGGTGTCAAGTAATAGTAGTTGATACCTAGGGCAAAGTCCAACACCACCCTCCTTCCAAAATGTTCTACAGCGCTCTTAGATAAGGAAGACCCTGTGCCCTGTGCAATAGGAAATTCCGTACGGTGCTCACAGTTTGGGCTCTTCCTCGCAAGTAAATTTACCACACATACTGGAGCTAAAAGCACAAGGTCATTCTAGAAGCATGTTTCCTCTGTATCTTACCATAGACTAAGGACTGATCTTACTTATCTGCCCTTCTTCTTCGGACTTTACTTATCACCTACAGGTCCATGACGACCATCCTCGTCTGCATGAGTCTCTTAGCTTCTTCGGCCATCAGATAGTTGGAGAGGGCGTGGAAAGCGTTCCTTTCTAGTTTGTTCCTCGTCTGCACCCATCCTTTGAACGGAGCGAAATACTCTGGTGGTGCCCTCAGGTAGGTTCCGTTGAAACTTTGAGCAAACTTCAGTGCCAGTGATGATTTTCCTGTTGAGACACTTAGGTTTTAAAAAGGTTACTCATTCTGGCATTATTTATGTATGGTATATTAATTTATACTATAGCATTATATAAAAATTTTTTAGTTAAATGTTATAATGAAGACGTCCAATTACACTTCAGCATAACATAAATTCACATTACTTCTTCTTTGTTTTTAATCTGTGCTCTCTGTTCGGGAGTCAAATTTCATCTTGCAGGCAACAACACAATATTAAAATATTTATCTTAATAAATAACAATACAAATACCAAAGAAAATGAGCTAACTAAATTAAATTGAAACATAGAAATAAAATTATTAAATTTAGACATCAGTAATAGTCTAATTTTAATTATTCTCACAATGAATTATCATTTAAAAAGCCTAGGCACAAGTAGAACGGATCGATACTCAGTGGTAGAATATTTTTAAGTTCTATTAAGAAATTGGCAGGAGGCTAATTATTACAAAGTTATTCATTTTAACATTAGCATACACTTTCAAAGGGTTGAAATAAATACAGGTAACCATGCTTCATGGCCACAGATCGTGTTTAAGGTGGATAATAGCCCATCATTTTATTTAATCAGAAATCCCAAAAAGGAACATTATCATCTTAAGTGTTTAGGGTTTTATTAAAATTGTTTGCCAAAATATTCATTAAATATTTTACACACATATTATCTTTTTCTTGTTGTTCTCGTTGATAAGCTATGTAGCATCAATTAATAAAAAAAAATATTTTAACAAAAGTGATAAATATACAAAGAGGTTTTTACTTCACAAAGACTGTCCTAGTTTCTAATAACAATAACATTTAAATGCTTTCGGCTAAAACACCATTATAGTTATGATAAATATTAAAAATAGTAATAAAATAATTAAGGTAAATTATTTATCTTTATGGTGTTTACATATTACCTGATCCTTTAACTCCTTCAATGACAATGAAAGGTTTTCTCGGTCCCCGGGGTAACTGGACTATTTGGTTTTGTCTCATTTTCTCAAAAAGTTCAAAAACTTGTGGAACGTTCATGATTTCTGGCTGAAAAAAAATGTGGCAATGTCTCTGATCAAAAGGATTGTTATTTTTTTTAATAGTATGCAAATAAATGAATAATTATATACATCCATTAAATTTGTCTTGCAAGAGAAGAATTCTGGATTTAGGAAAATATTTAAAATATGAAGTGTGCTTATTTTGAATGCCTACAAAGAAAGAAACACCAATAGTACCATAGTAATGTAGAAGTTGATAGCTTTAAACAGAAAACATGTGTACGTGGTGTTATTTTTAGAGCCATTTTAGGCTGTTTCAACAGAATTTTTCGAATCGGTTTAGTACTGGTAAATCCAATAATATTGTGATTAACATGCATGTTTATTTATTTATCAATAAATTAAAACAGCATTAATGTATTCTATATTTTTGTTTAATCTAGTAGATGACTTCGTAACTATTTAGGATTAGAATGTCATGTTTTTACTTACGATGTCTTTGACGACATGGTGTATATCCCATAAATTGTGAAATATCCCGAACGACGACGGAGGAATAGAGTGGTATGTTTGGTCTGAAATGCAATTGTCACAATAAAAAATAGGTATTTTACAGAATCAATCTTTTATAGAAATTAGCACAAAGGCTAGTTTCTTCATGCATGAAGTATCTATTATTTATTTTATAAATAAAATAAAAAAACTTATCGACGTACGAAGATATGGTGCACAGTTATTATATCTAGTCCTAAAAAAATGGATTATCCAGCAGCAGGCACAGTTTTTTTTTTTTTTTACAGAAATGCCTATGTGGTTGTGTGATGTTTGAAAGTCAATGTTTTTCTACATACACTTATGCTTAATAACAGTTTTTGCCAGACGAACTATTTTTCAGTATGATTTAACAGTACTTTTTTCACAATGTTATTTTTTTGCACTAATATGAACAATTTAAAAGTGAATGGATGAAGCTATGATGCTGAACATTAATAAAGCACACAGTTTGCATATCCAAATAATATCTTCCAATTTATACTGATTATCCTCATATATGGTCAATACAATTTTTAATTACCCAAACAATATTTGTTTGAATAGCAAACATATATGTATAAAAATGATTCCAAACCTTGTTTAGAATATCCTGGAACGTAAGCAGCAATCGGCCTCATAGATACAAAAACAATAATAGATAGGACAGCTTCATAGAATCTTGCCATTTTCTGGAAATGCAATAAAATTTTAAACAATATTTGTTACGAAGTATTTATTTAAGAACACAAATAATAATATAAAACCTCTTGTAATATCATTATCAATAGATGTGGGGACGCCACCTAGGTGCGTATTTTAACCCAAATATGGGTGAAGGATGAGTGTAGAATGGTGTGAGATGATCTGTGTATCATTGTTGCTGACTAAGATCAGCTGTTTCATTCGTCAGGATAATTTATTTTAAGTCCAACAATCAGGGACAGCTGGGTCCAGCTCGAACCATCAAAAAGCTACTGACTTATTTCAGGTTTAAACCGGCGACATTCTGATTGTTAGGCGAGCACAACCACTCAGCTACACAACTGGTCGATATTATAAACATGTATTGTAATATAATGAGATTATTTTACTTACAAGATTTAAATGAAGATTCAACTGGCAGAGTATTTATTATTGTAAATGGTTAACTAAATTTATAACCAAATCTATTTCAAAATCAATTTGGATATTTGCACATTTCAATAATCCAAAATAAGTTTGTTTATATATAAATAAAACTGTCTAAAGAATGTTGCAAACACATTTAACTCGTCCTTTATAACTGCATATGATTTTCCAATCCTGTTGTACACCATATAGAAGAATAAATTGTAAGTTTACATTAACTCATCATAATAGAGATACTTTTTTATTTTGTTAACATGGCCAAGCATGCAGATTATTATCACTGTCATAGTTTTATATCCTGATAGATGTACAGAAAAATAATCGTAACAACATTGGAAGCAGCTCAGTAAGATTGCACTAACAAGAGTCCCAAACATTGTTAGTATAATTTTTACTAAAATTATTATATTCCTTACGACCCTAATTTGACTAAACAGTTGAAAGAAGTCTACTTACAGTATGCGATGGGAGGTATGTAGACTTATATATCAGTGCTATCCGAGCATTTAATCTTGCTATCTAATCATAAAAATGTGGATGTGTTAACGTTTACACCTAGCACTCACTAATAGAGATATGATGTGTACCTTTATAGGGTGTGTAAATATTCATAGATGAACGGACTAGGAGGTAAGTATTCCATAGTAATGTTTTTGTTTTGCAAAATATTTTAAAGCGTTGAAAAAATAGTTTGGACAAAGTTTAGTAACTTAAAACTAGTAGGCATAAGTCAAAGTTGTGAAATAACTTTTATTTCTGTATAAAAGTAAAAAAGTACAAATGAAGCAGTCTTTGCTCTCTCAAGCAGTCAGTGCCAGTTTCTCATCCCCGTAGATAGGTGAAGCGAACTCCTTGTAAACTCTCAAAGCTATCTGGTTCTCAACGTTCATAACGTTCACATTGCCGTTGACTCGCCACAGCTTTGGGTACCTCATTCTCATCAGCGCCTTGTGGATGCTGAAAATGTATAATTAGTTTGAGAAAAAGTGACCTTGATTTGCTTAAATAAAAACATGAAGATATTACATGAAGCTTATATGGAGATCTTTTAGGGTACTACTGTTCAAAGCTCAAAATTCTCACCGTCAAAGGGGTCAGGAAAGGTTTTAAGGTCCGATTGTTGTAAGTTGGTAAATAATTTTAGGTTAACTCATAATCTTTTTACTCTCAAACACCAATCCAAATAATAATTTAAATTCTCAAGAAGGACCAATGATTGTCTTTGACCACTCAAACATTTTTGAAATTTTTGACCACTTGTGGATCGAATCGAAGATAGTCAACCTGAGAAGGATCAATGCCCAAACAAGTAAAATTCGGCTAGTTAGGAGATCTGTAAAATTATGTCACTGGATAGAAAATATCTGAATTAGAAACGTGATACTTTAAAGATCAATATAAGTGTACCTAACAAAAGTTAATATTTTTTTTGTCCTAGGACGCTAGGGACGAGCCTGGAATCGTTTTTTACATTACTTCAGGCTAGACCTAGGGGTCCTGGCAATATCACTTGGATAAAATCCATTGGTGATTTGGCGGGGTTTGAACCCGGGATCCCAGGAACCGGAGTCCCGCGCTCTAACCACTAGACCAGCTCGCTCCCCAACTAAATTTAATATTAAAAACATTTGACATTTACAAGGGTTTGCCTAGTCCAGTTTTTATTAATTATTTCAAAATGAATTAAAACATATTATTTGTTATTCTAATTAAAATTTAAGGGAATAAATTGAATTTAAAGACCCTATCCTCAGTTAAATTATTTTCAAAAGCAACTTATTGAAATATTTTAATAAGCTGTGAAATAAATTAACTACTGTAGCTACATACTATTTTTCAACACTTAACAACAAAATAGGTTTTTTCTCTCCACTAATTATTAGTTTTACCCACCTGTCTCTAAAGTCTTTCGGGTACACTCTCTTGGGGGCCTGGTGGAATCTGAATCTCAAGATATCCTCACTGACTATGATGTAGAAGGCCATGTCAGGCATAAGCAGGTCCTCGGGCCAATAGTAAACCAGGGAGGAAGCTGGGGGAAGATCCAACCCCTTGTCTTGAGCTGCCTTGGCCAGGTTGAAGGCGGTCACTCCGTGCCAGTACCTTGAGAATATACATACGAAACTAAATTTGTTCCTAGCCGTAGAGATTTAAGATCATTTACTTGGATTTTATTTTAAAACTCATATAGCTCATAGAGCTTACTTTTCTATAACCTCTTTTTGAATGTGTTTGCATTCTAGGACTTTGAATATTCAAAATCATTAACGTAAAATGTTGGTTGTTGGAAATGTTATTGTTGGCTGAGAAAATTTTGTCCCCAGAAGGAGTGACAAAGCTAAGATGTGTGTTTTCAATATCTTAAGCAAAAATAAAGTTTAACCAATACTAAATTCATCTACAGTACTCTTTAATTTTATATAGAGGGAAAACATGTTTGACAACCCAACTTCTCAAGTAGCCCAGGAAATTAAGTGCATGTGTGCACTCCTGTAAGTGTATGGAAAACAACCATTCTCTAACTCCTATTAATGAATGGGATTCTAGTCCTCCTCTATTTTAACAGTTTTATATACCTAGACACGCAATAGAGTAAAGTAACCACACGAAAGCCAAAATAAATTCACTGAAAAAAAAATAACGAGGCATTAGGTAGTACAGAAAGATAGAAACTTCCAGTTACCTCAAGTGCCAACTAACTTTTATCGTCCACTTACTTGTCCAGCACGACAGGCATGTAAGGCAGCAGTTTCTTCGCCTGTTCCGCCACAATGTAGTTGCCTATGGCCATGAAGGCACTGCTGACCTGGGGGCAGTGATCGTCCAGGTAGGCATACAGCCTCTCCATCACCCTAGGCGGGTTCTTCAGGTAAGTACCGTTGATGGCCTCTGCAAGCCGCTTGGCCAGCAGGTTCTTCCCTGATTATGCACATAATTAGAGAACTTAAGCAGGCAGAGCGTTATTATGTTGATTGTTGATACAGAGGACTTCCGCAAAGTATTTAACGAGGCAGTGACATTTATAGTAATAACCACAGAGAAGTAAGGTACAGAGATGTTTATGTGATGACCAACAGTGCTTTTAGCTATAGTACTGTATGTTGTGCGAGAAATATACTTGTGGCTGGGGGAAGGAAAAGCCCGAGTGGCAGGCAAGTACTGTGTGAAATTCCTATAACGCAGGACACAGGGTTTTCCTCCACCGCGAGCGTTGTAGTACATATTAGGGGGTGGTGGTGGACTTTGCCTTAGACACCAGCACTATTGGTAGACACCACTTGAAATGTTCTTTCTGTACCTTACTCCTCTGTGTGATTACTTAGTTCATGAAAAATATTGAATTAGGTAATTAAAATTAATTAATATTTAAAATTAAATATAATTGTTTGTGAATCCAACCCAAATGTATTTCCGAAATTATTTATGATAAAAAAACATAGTTTAGTATGATGATGATTTTATACCTTCTGTTAAAACGATACTTAACTTCAAAAATAACCTGATAATATCTGTCAACAGAGCCTGGAATCACTTTAGAAACCAAGTCAGGCTGCACTTTACTTTAGGTCCTACACTCATTCGAATGAAAATATCGATTAATCGATTGTTTCATTCGATATATCGTTTGGTTAGTTAGGTTAGGTTAACCTTACCTAACTTGCCAAACGATAAATCGAATGAAATAATCGAATAATCGATATGTCGATCGATATTTTCATTCGAATGAGTGTAGGACCTAAAGTAAAGTGCAGCCCCAAGTCACTCCTGGGTTGAACTTAAATCTCTGAGTTTGATGTAAGTCAACAATTAAACCATTCTTTGAGTTTAGGCGATACCTAATGATTGAAACTAACAAATACTTTTAAAACAATAATGTATGATTTCGATTTAAACTTATGTGCAAACTTTAAATGGAAGCGCAATGGAACATGAGGAAGAAATTTGTAGTTTTCCTGATATTCACTTCTAAAGACTTTTTTGCAAATTTTTTGTCCATTAACAGTCTTAACTAAAGTTAATCACTAATACTTTATCATAAGTTAATTTAGTAAAGTATATAATGATAGAACACTTACTAGAGCCTTGCACTCCTTCCAAGACTATGAATGGTTTTCGGTTGTGTAATGGCAACACTGCTTTCATCACCATCGGATCTTTGTGGTAAACCTGCATCACCTCTGGTAGAGGAGGTTGTTGTTTCTAAAACATATGTTTAATTAACATAAACAGGATAGTTTAAAGCTGAGTTTTTGGTGTATTATATGTATTTTTTGTTTACGTTAAACGGTCCAAACCCAGGTCTTGAGTCCATCGTAGGTGAACACGTAAGTACAGAACGTATAAACTATTACAACCTCTTTGGCATATGGAACATTCTAAGAATCGAGCCTTACATTGGATCAGCAATTTTATCATCTGAAGTCAAGAACCTTAACCATTTGGTTACTCAGATTTAAAATTCCAATTTTTTTAACACGTTTACTTTACTACACTATATATCTGTTTGTCAAGAACAAAGATACACAAAATATAAGCAATACCTATTATAAAATAATTGAGTATTCTTTTTTATTTAATTAAGTAATTAACATAGGGAATACATACAGCAATCACAAAATAAAATTTTTATTTGAGTTATAGCTGAATCATTAAGTAGTTTTAGGCAATAACATTGTCAATATAACTATAGTTATCTTATAGTATAAACTAAAACCAATAAATTGGTATTTATAATCCTTACCAAAGCTGGAACTAAAATGTTGAGTACTTCTTCAATGCTATGGTAAACACAGTACGAATGGTTGCCTTTAGCTGAAACAAAAATGGTTTCGATACAATACAAGTATTCAAGATATCCAGGTACAAGATATTTAAGCTTGGCTTCAAAATTATATTTCAAAAAATATATTTTAATTGGAAATCTACAGTTTGTAACTAATAAAAAGCGTTTATTATTTCCTGGATCTTTTATTTTAACAACTATTTACCTTTGGCCAGATTTTGTATTGCTATGTCACACAACGAATCCACTGTCGAAATGAAAACTAAAAGTGTCACAAATAAACATAAGATAATTTGTGAGTTTAACATAGTTAGTCCAATAATCAAAAGTAATAAACAGTATTTAAATTGTTACGAACTGTTGTTTCTTAAGGAAATATAACCATTTCGTTGGGGTTGTTGAGCTAATAATGCACTCTTTGAAGATTAGATGAGTTGCAAGATAAGGTTCCATGTATGACTAAGCGATTTTATCTTAATTAAAGACGTCAAGCACGCTTTTGTTTCAGCCAATTAAGCATTATCTTAACGAGTTTTCCACGCAGAAGTTTTGAAGTTAAATTTCCAATTCAATGACTGACACACTTATTAAATTGCCAATATAGATACTTTTGTATTTGTTTCTTATAAAGATGTTTACATGCAGGCCTGCATGTAATAAATGAAACAAAGTCCTCATATAAAAGCTTTTCTTAACTTATGATAAATACTGTTTGAAAAAACGATTTAATGTACTGTTGTATTTAAAATTGATTAGTGATTTTTGTTAACTACAATATGCTGATATGCCTACGACAGCTCGATGCCAAAGCTACATCATTTAGGAAACAGTGCTACTATAAATCTATTTTTTACCATAAGTTTGAATACTTAGAAAGAACTGTTTGCTAGTTTTTATTAATTTTAAAACTACTGAAAATGTGATTGAGTATGATTTAGTTTGTTAATGCATAATTTTATAAATTATAATTTATTACTTTGTAATAAAATTATAATAAAAGAAATTCATTATAAATAATTTTATTAGTATGTTTATCGTGAATATATTTGCTGCATATATTCACATTTTATTTTGTTTTGTCAATTTGTTGTTTTATCGATATACAAATAATGTTATTAGTTTAGCATATGTTTTAATTTTATTTTTGCTTGTAGTTATATTGTAGTTAATTATGAGTGCTATCATAGTTATAGGCTAACCTATATTACCCCTTCAATATATATTATGTAATCATTAAATTAAATTGTGCTGATCGTTGGTAAAATTAATAAATAAATGCAATAATGGCGCAAAGAATAAACCATTCTTTTTAGGATTTCTTTTCCTTTATACCAGACCATACATAATGTAGTATTTTATTAAATTATTTGAACATAAAAATAAATATAGCATATTAAATTGAATCAAGAATTGGTGTAAGGAAAACTTAATTATCTTAAATAATGTATCATAAAAATCTCATAATTATGAAAAGGTTTGAAGTCGACATCAGAAATAGGCATAGGTTTCCATTTTTACTTTGTTATTAACCATACTCCATTAGTATTTGTATTAGTAATTTTTCCAATTGCAGGTTGTGTTACGATTAAACAAATCCAGGTGGTTATAACGTAATCCAGAAAACACCTAAAAACAGCTGTGTCTAAGGAATATGACGGTCTAAGTCACTAACAAGACTATAATAAGATCACGCCACTCATCCTACACTCATCCTTCACTCATATTTGGGTTAAAATATGCACATAGTACATATTAAATAATTCCCCATGTTAAATAATTGTTAATTGATGATAACCTTCGTTTTTATATGGTAATCCTTAAAAAATCCTTGCAGATCCAAAAGCCAACACAGGAAGTACTCTTGGAAATATTGTTGTATAAAGATGTAGAAATATGTTCATTTAAATCATTTCCGTGATTAATTTAATTTTGTAGAAAGTAGTAGGCCTACCTTTAAGTAAATTTCTTCCGTAAATAATGAAAAAATACCTCCCACTTTTTCATAAATATTGCCTTAGTTTAAATTTTAAACTCTGTTGGTTGAATAATTTCCTATTCATGATAGTTTCACCAATCCACCCCAGACTGCACCACATACAACGGCACTGTGTGCTGCTACCTTGCGGCAAGTTATAGAACTACTCTCACGATGACAAAACCAAGTACTGGCCTGTCGTTAAAGCAGATTGGCAAAGAACAAAATATTGCTCTAACTAAATAGAATTCTTTTAGCAAGATTGTATACTATTTTTATTTTTTCCCCAATGTTGAGAGAGAGTTCTTATTTAGGGTAACGAAATTCTTGCCACAAAAATACTTATCATAAAAGAACATTTACAAAATGAGGTTATTATGAACTTTAAAATGATCTAACCCTTTCGACCTAATGTACATGGATTTTCAATATGGAAATATGAAGAATTTTTTACCTGTTTCATAACAATATAACACCACAATTAATTAATAAGTTTATTTATTTTTACATAGAAAATAAATGTCAAAGACAACAATTTAATTTAACAATGCATTTATTTATTTTTATAAATATCTACTAAAACACACTACAAGTATTTCCTCATGTTTACTCAATGTTCAGTTAACTTTGAATGTTATATTCTTGCTTTTGTGATAGTTTGATTTGTTGTTGTTGGAAACCTTTTTACCATCGGGATTGTTCTTCTTGAACCGCTCACAAACCGTTATGCAGTTCTTCATTTTGCTGTAACCAATGAAAAGTTAAAGAAGGATGTAAATAACATTCTTATATTATGTAAAACTATTATTTGCGTTAAAATGAGATGCAAAAGTAATGCATTGAAACCGTGCTTGGTGAGTTGCTACAGTGTTACTATTAAAAAAAAAAAAGTAAAATAAGTACTACTTGAGTTCAACAGTTATCATTAAACAGTAAACAAAGTACCTATATACTACTTGACTAGACGGTTTTTTTGTATTTCCTTCAATTTAAAAAATAGTGTTTGTTCTTAGTTTTTTTGCTGAATTATTGAGAAAAATTTCACAAAATATGAGTGACCTATTACTAAGAATAAAAGCTGGATTCAATTATTCCAAGCAACGAGCACATTAAATAATATTTTTCCTTAGTAGGACACAATTTGGGGAGTGCTATGGACTTTTTATACTGAAGTGGACATCTAATATCTATAGACCAGCTTAAGCCAATTATTATTTAAAACCCCCGAAGCAAGACCTGCAGACTAAGCGAATTTCCATTTGCCTGATTCTGTTAAATCTATTTAAAAAGCAATAGTTTTAGCGAGTACCTAGGTTTCCTGATAAAGGGAGGTTATTAGCACTACATAATATTATAACACATAATGAGCATGGTCGTACGGTAGCAGCATGGTAACGGGGGTTTAAAGAAAGTTTAGGGGGGGAGTTACGGAGAGAGTTTTGGGTAAGTCCATTACCCAAATATATGTGTCTTACTAAAGAAAAATATTATTGGGTTTCCCATTTTTTTTACAAAAAAACATAAAACTTTACCACATCTTTCAAAACAATTTTGTAGACCTGAAGAAAAAAAATGTTTAGCATATTGAAGCGTTGTTGTGTGCCTAACAGTTACGGAGGTAGTTCAAAGATTTGTAAATTTAGTAGTTTACAAGTTTATTATATACTAAAAAAAACATCTATCGACATAAAAATTTTTAAAAGCACACCTCATTACCTTACCTGTAGCAGCATTAAAATTAATGTTATTTTTTATTATTTTTATCAGGAAATAAATATTATTTCCAGGAAATATTTTAATATAAATCCAGCCGAGTAAATATAAAGTCGTTCAGTTTGCATGTTCGCTGTGGTGGGGGTATTATATCATTATTACTTAGTACGTGTACATAAGATTTTAAAAGAATCCAAATAACCACTAATCATAAAATATATTTTAATGTACAATTTTAATTTAAAAAGAAGTTTTGTAAAAAAAAAGTAAAATTACCTAAAATATTATTTTAAAATGAATATATTTAGAAATACAGGATTTAGAAATACAGGACAAGTAGAAAAAGAATTTGACCGTATCTTATATGTTTTTTTTTAAATACATTTATTTACGTAGGAGTTAACAATACCAATTAAAATATTTTGATCAACAGTACGTTATCCTAATGTGTGTGTGTGTGAGTGTGTATGCGTGCACTTGAATACTGTTGACTTCAATAAGCTTACTAATATTTTACGTACCCAATTGTAGGAAATATAACCTCTCAAGACATAGCACACCTCAGTTCTGTCTTACGTGCCAAATAAGGACCTTCTTCTTCTCATCTCTGTCTCCAATGAGCTGCTTCATGTTGACTAAAACTCGCCTAGCTTCTGACTAACTAAACGTTTAAACTAGAGCTATATATACTTACATTTGTCGAGATGCCTATCGTTCGGTCTGAAACGCAGTTAGAGATCTTATCAACTGATTCTGCGATGTTAGTTCTATTTCTGACAAAAATGTTGATTTGATGTGTATAAATATATTTTAGTGATGTAATTTACTCATAACTTGGGTCATAAGTGAAACCATTTTGAAGGTTAGTGGACGACATAGGGTCTATAACCGTGGCAATGGGCAAGGTATGCCTTTACACGAATACATTTTGAAAATCACATAGGCATAAACCAAGCTATCTCTACAAATTGTATAGGCCTAAGATAAAAAACCTACTTTCGTGTTTTAATCCTAATTTGAATTAAGGAATGAGTTTAGAATGAAGTTAGACGCCTTGGCTAGCTTTTAGGTCAGCTGATTTACCCAAGATCATTAAAAAGCCCAATGATCAAGGACAACTAGGTCCAGTTTTGAACCATCAAAAAGCTACTGACTTTTCTCAGGATAGAACCGGCGACATATTAATTATTAGACGAGCATTATAATGTCTCAGTTACCCAGCTATTCACATGATGGTGTACTATGTGTATCACAGTGTAAGGTTTCTGATAGGAATTTAAAATATATTTCATTTTAATCGATTTAATTTGTTTCTTGGACAGCTAGGTTAGTTTTAAACCCTGGTATGAATTAATTGATCTAGGATCCTTCATAATGATATTCTAGCTTACCAAGTGTAATGGGTATCTGATTAAGAAAATAATTGCGGTAGAAAACAAAGACTGGTAGGTGGAATCTTCTATTCTTTACCATAGTAGCAGATGTTTCACAACAAAACCTTGCCTACCGTTGGACTTCTATAACCATCTTTTAAAAAAATTTGCAATCTGGAATGCGCCTTAGTTGGTTGAAAAGCATATTTATGGGAGTTTCTTTGTAAAGCTCAAGAAAAAAGGTTAGGTGAACTGAGAACCCAACTTCGCCGTAAGATAATGATAAAAATGTCTCTTGGCTGTAAACTGTATCTCATATGGTTGAATTTTGAATCAGGCTTTCTGACAAATTTAATTCTTCAATAAAGCACTTTAATTTTACATTATGGTTTAGTATTCAAGACAAGTAAAGCATATGCAGTATCAACCAACGGACCTTCATGTATTTCCATAAATAGTGGTATGAAATAAAATAATGTTGATCATTATACTTGGAAGAATGACATTGAGCAAAGATTGCTCTCAGGGTATAGAGTGTAGTAATGATTTTCCCCGAGCAAAGCTTGGTCCCCAGGTACTTAAATAAAACTGCAACGTATAGGCATGTAGTAAGATTGCTATTTTAATAGTAATTCAAATATTTTACTGTATGAAATCTTTTTATGATCTATTCTTCAATTATCAAATCTGGAAATGTATTTTCATAGTTTTTCCGCAATTCTTGACGTTAGGAGTTAAAGACACGGTAGACACTATGGCCACTTCATGCCGCAGCTGCGGCCACCACCTTATCAGCTGGTCTGTAGTACCCCATTGCGTCATATGTGTCTCTCAAATGTTGTTGCGTCAGATTGGTCAGTGTCACTAAGGTCGTGTAGGTTTTCGTCTTGAAAGCTCCACCGTCAACGTCAATGACTGGAGGATCCCTCATACGGATGTAGCTCTCCACCATCCTACAAACACAAATATAGGGCTGTAGCATCATATAATTTCCTCAAACTATTAATAAAGGTTGTAGATTTACATAAACCAAGTGCAAAAGTAATTTGTCCATTTACTTTTTTAGACTCTGTTATAAAATAAGGAAAATATTCCATCCCTTTTTTTAACTACACGAATACTTGAAGTTCTGTTTAAGTTTTCGAGATTCACACTATCTATAAAACAACAGCCGACAGATACAACACATACGCCGACAAAAGCTGACATATAAATTAAGCACAAAAAAACAGTAATGGGGAACTAAAAAACCTTCCCCTTAAACCCTCTAAATTTTATAAACGGGCTAGTCATGAAGACGTACAAGTTTAATATGGGTGTTAAAAACCCCTATGCTGTATTGTTCAAGTTACAGGAGATAAAATTTACGTTGCTTAAAATATACTCATTTTTAGTGAACTGTTGGTGAAAATTAGGTTTATAAATAACCTAAACTGCTAAGGCACTTGTGTTTGTTTCCTTAGATTTTAATAACGTAATCCCTTGCAATTTCCGTTGTAATCATCTGAAAAGGGTTCTAGTAGGTTCAAAGTTATTTTTACACAGTATAATTATATATTTAATCAGGTACCCCATTTGAAACATTTCTCTTGAATTTTGGTAAACTACGGCTTTTGAGTATTCACTCAAAAAAATCTTACACGATTAGAAAATGTCTTCATTAATACTTCTTCCACATGAACATCTGTTAACATACAGCTTATTCTTTATCGTTCCATACTTACAAATCAACAAAATGTTTGTTCATCGCCCCTCTGGACCCGGCCACGATGGGGTTGTGTACAATCTGGGCCTTGGTCAGGAAGAAGATGATGTCTGGAACCAGGAGATCCCGGGGCCAACGGTACAGCGGAGAGTCCCGTGGAGGAAGAGGCCTTCCTTGCATGGCCTCCTTGGTCAGGGACATGGAAGCGTGGCTTTGCCAATACCTGAAGACATGGTTTTTGTTTTTTATGCTCAAAGATATTTATATCATCTTCATTGGTTCTGAGTTTTGACAACTCTAAGGAGTTGTGATTCTGTCATGCATGTCTTCGGTTACCAGTGTTCAGGAATTTCACTGTAGTAGCTTGGAGTTTAACTTGTTAGCATATACATCAAAGTGAGGAGGAAGATGATTTCTTACCCTGTATTTATTTACAAAACTTTTTATTTTCTTAGTAGTTAAAATTTTTAGTTCTATTAGCAATCTGCTGCACCTAACTTGGCCCTCCCATCCACTTACATCTGAAATTCGTAGTAAACAACATCCTTCGAACCACCTTGGTCATATAATTCTTTCAAAGAGTTGTAAACAATTAGAATCTAGTTGCTCAATAGCGACTACGTCTATTTATGTTGTAAGATGACTTATTAAGTTGTTTATTCATTAAGTTGGTCACTCAATTGTAACATTGCAAGAATTCTAAATAATACAACAGTCAGTGTCAAATGTATAGCCATTTCAGTTTTTTGGCTCATTCAAGTAGGCAAATCTTACAAAACAATACTTTACCGTCTAAACCATTACAAATTTGTTAAACAAATAAAGAAATCCACAAAGTACCTGTTAACTACGACGGGCTTAAAGAAGTAGTTCCTTTTGACAAGTTCAGCCACAATGTAGTTTCCCAAGGCGTAGAAGGCAGAACGAAGCAAAAAGTCTTGTGTGTCGAAAAACAGGCGAAACACCGCAAAACAGTTGGGAGGTGACATAATGTAGGTTCCTCCTAAACTCTTCATCAGTTTCATGCTGAAATATCTGGACCCTATAAAATGGAAAGTGCTTCATTTGAACCTTACAAAATATCTTATGTACTTATTGATAAATTATGTGAATCATAACCTTAACATAAATATCTATATATAAAGCCAAAAGTACCCATGAACTTTTGAGAAAAATACAAGTCACACTCTCATAAACCATATACTTCAAATGTTCGTCATGACGAGAAACCTTGCGCAAAACTATCCATTATTTCATAAATTGCCCTTTAAGGTCGTAATTGCTTTCCAAAAGGGAAATTTCCATATACCTAATGTTTTAAATACCTCAGATGTACTTATTCGTATGTCATTCTTTCAACTTATTACCTTTTGAAAATCAGGTGTGATTATTTGTTTGAATTAATGTATTTTGTTTTTTTTTATTTCAGCTTAACTTAACCAATAAATAGTTTTAGCTTATGAAGTCGAACGGAAAAAAGCCCGTGGGTAACAGCTAGTTGTAATAAACTATATAATGGTTTTGATCACCAAAAAAACTTAATTTTTGCGTGGTGAATAGTTAAGACTTTGCAGTTTGGAGTGTTTGTTTACGCATGCATAATTGAAAAAGAAAACTGTTCAGCAAATATTTGCTGGGATATAGCAATTAAAGTATTCTTCACGACCCATGATTCAAAACCCTTTTAAAATACTTTACAGCCATTTAGCCATTCCATCTGAAAATGGACAGGGAGATTTTGTTCTTATATTTGAACGGAGTGTATTAGATATTATTTTTAACATGTTTAAAGTGACAAAAGTTTATACTGCATCCACGTACATATAACATTGATTATAACCTACCAGAGCCTGGGGTTCCTTCGATGACTACGAACACATTTCTGTGCCTATTCCTCATGTACTTCTTCCCAGACTGGAACTGACATTGTTTGTCAAACATGTCCAGAAGACTCTTGACTTCGGAGATGTTCCTGTACTGAACATAATCAATCACTATTAAGTGTCTAGATACTAAAACAGAGGCTTTTTATGTATGTGCAGAGAAGTAGGGCCAAGTATTCAAGCAATGGTCTAATAAATAAGAATAGCACCGAAATTTGATACTAAGAATATATTCGCGACGTAACTTTTTTTCAAATTAAACCTAATATGTATACTACATTCTTCTAGTAAACCCCAGAAGGCACTATTTTCCGCAAAAATTGCAGGTAATTCTAGGAATTTCCTAAATTTATAATGCATTTTAATTAGAACTCATACCAAACTGTATGTTTAAATTAGAGGCAAAATTATCAGCGTTGATTAAATAATGGTAAGTAAATATGCAAGTTACGAACCCTGTTAGTTTGAAATCCTTTACTTTATTGTTAGTTAAAATAATCTTTATATTTTGTTCAACAGCTAATAGTAATATAACATTCTTTATGGTTTTGTCGCTAAAGGTGTATTATAAATTATGAAACGCAGACAAAATCAATTGAATAGAATGCACAATTTTTTTCTTTTCTCTCCTTATATTTCATGGTTTTATATACTTAAACTGACCATAGTACTCTAAAAACTGACTATCATTTACTAGCAGGAATAACTATTTCAAGATTAAATGCAATGTTTGCTCATAAGCTTTACCTGTGGCATGTTAAAGACGTTGAAAACCTCGTCGAGAGAGTGGAAAACGCCACTTTTGTAGTCAATTGGCTCTGAGGCATTTTCCATTCTGATTCCTAAAACCGATTCTGTAACATAACATTATTTATATATTATATTATTTTAGAATGAATTTAATAATATCTTTTAGCCATTAATAGTGATAATTTTCACCTAGCACAAAAGATATTTTCAAGTGAGCTAAGTCTAGATTTGTAATTTGTATGGTCGATATGTTTAATTTATTAATATATATAAGGACTGGCTGTTTTCTGGTTCTTTTCTAAATATATATTTTGGACTAACAAAAATATATATTCTGTGCTTGGACACAATTCTAATAATTATCCGTATTGTTCTCCCAATGAAATCGTGTTATAGTGTCACGAACTTAATATTAAATATAGTCAGAATGTATAGGAAGAAAAGTAACGGTTATATACTTCAAAATATTTGGTTTTAAAATTTTTATTTTATTTTATATTTATGTTTTATTTAAATCGTATGGCCAGTTACCAAATTTATTTAAATCATAGGTAACTTGTCCAGAAGCTGAACTACTAATTATGTTAATAGTCTTTATTATAAACATTTTAAAAGTTTTTTCCCTTTCACGAAGTTATATTCAATGAATTAGCATCATACATACTGAGAAAACTAGGAAATCTACAAACAACTAAGAGTAATCAAAGGTAAATCATTTACAATAAGAAGTCTGAAGACGAAATCTTCCATTACAACCATATTTTGACTTGCTTATCCCTTTAGAAAAAAAACTATTAATAAAAAATATATATATCAATAGCCTAATTTAATCAACATATTTTGATAATTAACTTAAACACATGATTTATTGTATTTGATCATTAATTAGCAACATACCTGTCACATAGCTTGTTATGAAAACAAACAACAGCTGATTTATCATAACAAACTTTAGTGTTCACTAACACGTAAAAGAAGTATTTAGTCACATAGTCGACTTGTTGGTTATGAGATATAACAACACTTCCAGCACATTTCACCAAACATTTCATTGTAGCCAATCTATTGGACAATCTAAGATAGGCTTGAGCAGTATCAGGTGTATACAACAACTAGATTTATTCCAACACTAAATATGGGTTTTTTATAGCACAATGAAATATTTCAATGAGTTTTAATATATAAAAGAAGGCATGAGCCTTTTGCAATAAATACATTGTTTTAATGTGTTAGTCGTAATTTATTTAATGAGGGACGTTTTCCGTTTAAGAAAGAAGCATAACAATAGTTCAAATAAAAAATTCTTGCCTTAGAAATAAAAATTAATAGTTTTATAAACTATAAATAAGTTGACGACACCAACAATCAGTGTGAGTTTTTTATGCGACAGCTTTCTTTGACGAAGATAAGATTATTTTAGCCATACTACTTTAATAAAACCCCAATGGTCAAGAGCTTTTCCAGTTTTAAAAACTCTAAAAGATTTTGGCTTTTCTCAGGATCGAACCTGGTGGTAAAAGCAATATGTATATTCACTCAGATATCCAGCTGGAGTAATTATTCTCGAGCTAAATATGTAGAAATGTGTCACAAATATTACTAAAGAGTACAGCCTTAGTTTTCCTACTCAAAAAGAAGTCATCGCACCCAATTTAGAACTGTACATATTCCATGAAGTTCTTATATAACAAAATCGCAGAATACCCAAGACTTAGTACTCGATGGTACAATGTATATTAATAAAGTTAAAAGACCAACTATTTTTTATTCACTGTACAATTTCCAATTCACACTTTGTAGTGAAAACTAATCGTAATATTGACGGGTATACAGTACAATACATGACCATCATCAACAATATCCACTGCATGTTGGTCGTATATTGCACGATGGTTGACCACGCTTTATCTCAAACGGACAGATCCAATTTGGACCCAAACTGAGCTTATCGCCAACCAAATGTGGAGCTTATAATGTTCTACATTGATGGGTGAGAGAGATAGAGTAATTGTAGTAGATTAACACATCTAGATCAATTATGAGATATCACAATTACATCAGTTTCCGACATGGCCCGGTAGTTTAGTGTAACATAGGACAATATTTAAAAAATGAAAAGATCCCATTTGGTATTTTTGGTGGCAGTGAGCTACGGACTAGTTTTGTGCTCGGGTTTGACGACGTCTGAAGAATACGACGACGACCCTGACGACGAGGATCCAGACAGTAATGAAAAATCCGACGAAGATGATGATGAACCGATTCTGTACCATGAGGATGACAATACTGGTGAGTAAATTCTAATTGGTTTATTCAAAACTTTTAAGTTGCCAAAGATAGCTAATTTACTTATGTATTTAATTCTGTAAATACAATTTGAATCGCTCTACTAGACATTCCTAAAAATAAAAAAGGACGAAAAAAATGCATCTTGCCTACATAAATCCAAACCTAAGGAGGGAAATATATAGCCTATGTTACTGGTAAATAAGTATGACTAGGCATTCTATACATTGCCAGAAGATAGGAAAAGTATAAAATAGAATCTTAGCAATAGGATTCTATACTCTTTGACAAGCCATTTACTATAAGTGTAATGCCTAAACGTTCTATACAAATCTTATAGGTGTGTCAGGCAAAGTATAAATTATAGATATTGTATTATAAACAATGAGGTAAACACTTTACTTTAAAATAATGAAATATTTTGTATATGATTAGGTTAAGTTAGTTTAGGTTAGTTTGTTTTTGATAAGATTAGTTTAGGCCAAACAAAACAAAACAAACAAAAGTTTGAAGAAATTCCCACAACAGCTTATTTTATAGTGTAGCTGTTATGCCAATGGGTATTCTATAGAATTACTAGACAATAGATATAACGAGCATTATTTAATACTTTACCTGGTACATTTTAGTCCATTCTATATCATGTTTTATCAAATCAATCACTTTGTACACCAAAACCAGAGATTACAACAGTTAATCCAATGATTTACTACCTACAGCTCTGTCTGTTGTAGATAAACCTACATTTTTACCAGCAACTCACCTGGTTTAGCATTCTGAATAACGCATTTTTATATAGTTTTAATTTTAGCTAAGGATAAAAATATTTAATTCAATTTTTAGAAGCCCCAAAGACCCCTGAGCGAGAGCAGTTTCTGAGACGTATCCAGGACCACGGTATCTACCATTCTCTACAGTCCATCCTGGAAGCTTTGGACAAGGAAGAGGTAATACGATTAGCTACATCTCAATCTTCTATTCTAAATTGAATTCATACTTTGCATGTAACACTTCCCCAAAGAAGCTAAACCAAAGCAATAATTAATCAATTTATCAATATGCTGAGTGAACATTTATTATGACATGATCTAAAGGCCCATCTTATTCAAGTATATCACACCTATATTCTTACTTTAAAATATTTCTGTTCATCATAATACAGCAAAGCGTTGTAGGTTTAAAATAACTGATTGCCAGAAATGGTGTGAGCCCTAGGGCCTAGGTCACGAGATGGTTTGACTTGAAGAAATGTGGCAAAAAATCCCAATATCATAGTTACTGCCACCGCTTACCCAGGATAAAGTTTGTTGAAAAGCTAATGGAGAAATTATGTACCAGATTGCTAATACCGCTTATTATTTTGGTAATAAAGCAGATGCCTTTAACGTGGATTTATAACGCGTTACAGGTGTTTCGCTACAGCGAATGTCCAAATAAAATGTTCATTCCGCAACGAGGGTCTTTAGGAGTGTTCACTTTACGAATCCCACTCAAAACCTTGTCAACAAATGCATTTTTCATCACAGCCACATTGACACTTATTTTTCAGTACAGGGACAAGATAGAAGTACGGCAACTCATAAACTCGTATCAAAACGACTGTTCTGACGGCAAGATTGAGGTTCCTCCAGTATACAACAAAACTGGTCTGTGGCCTTTCATCGTCATAGAAGGAGTACAAACTTCAGGTAACATTCTTACTCAATAGTGTTTCAATTGAATTTTGTTGGATAAGAAAACCTTTATTTTATTGTTACTAACAAAAAACATTTTCTTACTAATATTAAATTTGTTTTATTACGATAGTTCAAACATTGCATATATGTTATGAATGGTGTCACACTAACGGCGAACCCCCACTAAATTTAATAAAAGTTATACATTTTTCACATACGAAACCTTTATAAAATTAACCTCGTTCATACTTGAAATCTTCCACGAATACTTGATTCTTTTCTGTACCAAACTTTGCTGCAGATAAGCTGACAGTCAATTGACGGGTGACTGAGATTCTTCAGGCAAGTCCTCAGTCATACTTGAAATTGTCCACATATACTTGATCCTTGACTGTACCAAACCCTCTATTGCAGATAAGCTGACAGTCAATTGACGGGTGACTGAGATTCTTCAGGCAAGTCCTCAGTCATACTTGAAATTGTCCACATATACTTGATCCTTGACTGTACCAAACCCTCTATTGCAGATAAGCTGACAGTCAATTGACGGGTGACTGAGATTCTTCAGGCAAGTCCTCAGTCATACTTGAAATTGTCCACATATACTTGATCCTTGACTGTACCAAACCCTCTATTGCAGATAAGCTGACAGTCAATTGACGGGTGACTGAGATTCTTCAGGCAAGTCCTCAGTCATACTTGAAATTGTCCACATATACTTGATCCTTGACTGTACCAAACCCTCTATTGCAGATAAGCTGACAGTCAATTGACGGGTGACTGAGATTCTTCAGGCAAGTCCTCAGTCATACTTGAAATTGTCCACATATACTTGATTCTTGTCTGTACCCAACCCTCTATTGCAGGTAAGCTGACAGTTAGTCGACGGGTGACTGAGATCCTTCAGGCAGACTTCCTGACAACTCCTCCAGATTGTCTGTTTCACCTCAGACCTGCCTTTGATGCGTACAACTGCACTCTCCGTAGTCTGTACTACTCACTGTCCATGTACGCCCTCGCCAACCAGGCCATGAAAAGGCTGAGGACGAGGTCCGTCGTCGCAAACAGGTAAAGTACTTGACCTAACGAAAAATTGATAAAGTTATTTTGCACTCCTATTTAGCAACTAAGTATGTACACTACGAACATGGAAAACCACATTGATCTCTGTCCGGCCATTTGCACACGGCACGTACGTTTCTCTGTATATACCAGCAACATTAGTTGGTTGCGTGTTTGGTTTACGATTTTGCCACGGTGTAATAGTTTGTCACAAATAGGTGCAAATTTTAGAACTCCTGCTGCTGCAGGAGTTCTAAAATTTGTTGTGCTCAACCATCAACTGTTGTGCTCAACAGTTGATCTCACCTGATCAATGGCCAACATCTAACCTCAAATTGGTTTTCTGACCGTATTATGATCCAGTTTCATCCAACTAGTCAAGAAGGTTGGTCCATCAGAGATACATGGTTGTGAACCATCTATGATAGTCGGTGAGGTAGAAAAGACCGGCGCGGCGGAAAAGGTCCCAAAAGTTTAATTCCCAAAAAGGTCCATTAATGTGCTACCGATAAAGGTTCTAGACTCCACAGGTACCTTAGGAGATGACCTTGACTCATTCGACTTTACGATTGGACTTCGAGTTAATGGAACTCATTCTTTCGACATGTTCTGGTGTACGAAGAGTTTTACGACTCTACCAAATACAACCATGACATATAAACGTTGAGTTAACATTTATCATATTGTTGTGTGTCAATAGACAATATAGTCATTCCATTGGTGTTATAAAACATGTCCTTACCACATTTTGCATGTTTAAGTGAATAAATTGTGTGTTTAGCTGCAAGAGGATGATGCGATTGATGCGTGAGACTTAGGTTGTAATTTGATGATAATGATAACGAAACAAAAAACGATGTATCCACAGGTACTGGCACAGCCAAGCAGCCTTCGGCCTGGCTGTTGCTGAACTGAGCGAAAACATGCATCTTCCTCCAGACTCGGTCTTATACAAGTGGCCAGACGATCTGCTGAAGCCAGACTTGGCATTCTACTTGCAGTACTCCCACGGGAAGAACCTCCGGGGGCCGAAGAAGCCGAATATCCAGAGAAGTATCTCCAGGAGATTCAGGGACAGGTACGTTATGATGGAAGTTTTTAAAGGAAATATCTTACAATGTTCGTTTGTACCTTGATGTCAAGACACTTCTTGAAGTATTTGATGAAAAGTAGCTTGTTGTCAAGGCAAGTCTTGAATTACTTGATGTAAAGTAGCTTGATGTCAATGCTAGTGTTGAGTACATGATCTAAAGTAGCATGATGTCAAGGCTAGCTAGAGGTACTTTATGAAAAGAATCTTTGATGTAAAGTATGGCAAGGCTGTTCTTGAAGTATTTCATGTAACGTTGGTTGATGTAAAACCTAGTCTTAAAGTAATTGATGTAAAGTAGCTTAAAGGCAATGCTAGTCTTGAAGTTCTTTTTGTAAAGTAGCTTGATGTCAAGGCTAGTCTTGAAGTACTTGATGAAAAGAAGCTTGATGTCAAGGTTAGACGCCCATCACTGTTCTTGATGTAGCAACAGGCAACATTAGAATAATTTATGTCACTGTTTTAAAATTTTGGTATTAGCTGTAAAAAATAAAACTACACTCAATGGAAGTAGGTTAAATTAACGCAAAAGGGGTTCATGTTATACCAATCCAATAGGTCATTATATATATAGTCATTACAACACACTCTTTCTACCGGTTTTAACACCAACCACTAACTCAGAAAAATATACACTCATTGCTATGAATAGCTCCAAATAAAACAATGAACAACCCTCTGGACACAGTATGGCTAAGTATGTCACTAGGTTAAAAAAGGTCTCTTACAGAGAGTTTTTTCTATTCTTGGTCATGGAGTAACAAATTTAGCCTGTAATTAAATGTAAAAAATAACCGATACCACAAAATAAATAGTCCATGATTAAAGGAACAGTTTATTTACGTACAGTACTATAAAAATCCAAATGTATTATATTTTTTCCAAAATTGGATTACTCAAATATCAATACGAGTTTGACATTTAAAATCTGCAAATAATGTTAAGGTAAGGAATTTTCTCAACAAAAGAAAAATAGAGTACATCAATCAAATTTCAAGTCATATTAGTTCATACGACAATCATTCTATTATTAATACTTGTGGAAATATATATTGAAATATATTATTCCAATAAATATGAAAAATTAAACACGTGGTTATGGTTCTAAAAAATGCCTGGCAAGTGAACAAAATCCTTTAAAACAAAAAAAAAAACAAAAAAACAAAAAAAATTTGATGATTTAAAATACTCCATTTGCACAATTTTGACAATATTTTTCTGTTCTAGGATGGGCAACCAGTATATGAGATTTAGCGACAGTATAAGAGTCCTAGAACATCACATTTTCGAAGAAGTCTCTAAAATTACAATGATAATAAGCAAAACATTCCCAAGCTATTATGCTTCTATTGGTGGAAAACATTAACAAAAACGTATGTTCAATAGTAATCAATTATGATCAAATCATAGTTTATTAGTCTAATTTTTATGACTGCTCTCCTTTTTTTGAATTTTTTTACTTCAAACTCCCTGCATTTTAAATTGATATTTCTACTTGTTTGTACATTAAGTTCTTAAATAAACGACTTTAGTTTTTTATGTTGATTGATGTACTCTACTACCCAATATATTTCTAAAATACTTTGTTCAAATTCTTTGTGAAATCTTATACTTTTAACCTAAATATAGTTGAAATCTTATCTTGTTTTTTTTTTTTAAACTTGCATGTTTATTTATGTAAAAACCGCAATAGATAGAAATATGTCATTTACGGGAATCATCTATTGACGTAGAGGGCCCAATTGTTTGAATTCTACGTTACATTCACATTCCCCCCCTTTCCCTCCCTGCCCCCAACTTAATTTTTTGAAATAGCAAGGTACCCCTTGTGACATATCAAATGAAAGAGCATTAAAAAGGAAAATGTTTGACGAATAAAAATTTAAAATCGGTTCATAAATTTGCGAGATATTCCCCCCCTTCCCGAAACTTTTTTTTTAATAGAAAGGTACCCCTTGTGACATATCAAATGAAAGAGCATGAAAAAAGAAAATATTTGGTGAAATTTATTTTTCATTTGATATGTCACAAGGGCGGGTACATTGCTATTAAAAAACAAGTTATGAGCAAGGGAAAAGGGGGGGGGATTACCTCACAAATTCATGAGCCGATTTAAAATTTTTTTTACCAAAAATTTTCTTTTTTTCATGCTCTTTCATTTGATATGTCACAAGGGGTACCTTGCTTTTAAAAAAATAAGTTCTGGGGGGGAGGGGGTAATATCTCACAAATTTATGAACCGATTTTAAATTTTTTTTCATTAAACATTTTCTTTTTTCATGCTCTTTGATTTGATATGTCACAAGGGGTACCTTGCTTTTAAAAAAAATTAAGGTGGTGGCAGGGGTGAAAGGGGGGGGATGTGAATGTAACGGTGAATTAAAAAAAATGTGCCCCCTATGTCAATAGATGATTCCCGCCAGCTGCATATTTCTATCTATTGCGGTTTTTACATAAATAAAGATGCAAGTTTAAAAAAACCTTGTATTTGCATGGATTATTCTTTTAATAGCTTTGTTAATAGTTTGAATCCAATATTAAAATATGTATCTATAGCAGCAGGATGGCAAAGTAAACAAATCCAGTAAAGGAGGCAAAGTTATGGTTGGCTGATAATATATTTTTAGCTTGAAGATTAAGTTCTATATTTGTAGCAAATTTCTGTAATATATTTTTATCGATTTAAAATTTTGATATGAAACGTCACACAGAAAATATAATTGATGAGCTTAGGTCGCTTCGTCATCATGTTTAAGCTTTTTGACACTTGTAATTGATTGAGTTTGCTCTATCAATCTTTTATCACCCTAACACTCTGCGAGTATGAGATTATTGTGTTCCAAAAAGGTTAATAAGTTAACTTGGTAATCTGAGTATCTGAGTAATCTTTATTTTAAAGGATTGAGTATCTGAGTACGTGACCTATAACCAAAATATTGTACATTTATATTGCCAATTTTGTACTTTATCAGAAGTTCACTTGTGCAACATTTGTCATTCTTGGCTTACATAGATCGTAGTCAATTTAGAAGTTTTATAAACATAAGTCCTATTAAAGCATACATTTTTATATTTTTCACATTTATACATAAAGTTGAAGGTCATAATAGTTCTGAAAAATTAAAATTTTAGATTATTTATCGCCAACACAAACGACTTTTTAGCTCCACAATTCTAAATTGTTTCGGTAACATTAGGCTGAGTTCACTAAAATGTATTAGTTGTTTTTAAGGAAAGTTATAAGCCAATTGTCTGGGTTGATGTTTAGTCTGGTTCGCTTTCCTAAAGACATCGCCATGAACCTTTACCACCTTTAACTATAACATTTAATGAAACAATCCTCATTGTTTCAGTAACCACATGCATATTAAACTAAATCTAAATCACAGTGGTACACTAAGTCATAGATGTATGTTCTTTCAAGTCAATCATTTTATGTTTGAAACAACATCCCTAATACACGGCCGCAGCGCAATTTGGCAACGTCGCGCCGTCCTTCCTATTGTCACTAATATCCTAAACTTAAGCAGACACTCCAATATGAACTGGTGCATCAGCTGTGTCGGTAGGCCGGATCTGCGACGTTGCCACTTTTGTCGTGCCGTTGCCTTGTGTTAGAAGAGGTCATGTTTTAAACCATGGATTTCAAACACTTATGAAAACCCATACACTATATGAGCAAAATTATTCACTGATTAGACTGATTCTATAAACCAACTGATTGTTTTATGATTAGACTTTTATTTTTTCAGGATGGTTACTCACTACACTCGTATGAGAGAGCCGTTTCTGGTGGACATCTTTGAGCAGTATACTCATTACCAGTTGGGTAAAATGGTGAAAGTAATTGAAGACAAGTACCCCAACAAATACCCCTACATTACGTCCAAGGATCTTGTGTACCAAAGAGCAATTTCATAAGTGTTCCTGCGGCCATAAAACATTTCATTCTCTTATACGTTTAATTTTACCCCGTTATTCAAATTGAAAACACATAATCACTACGCAAAAATGTTTTTGTTATTGTGCTGAATAGTTTTTTTTATATCGAATCTCGCTGATTAATCAAAAAAAGACGATTTTTGGAATGAACATCTTGACCCTTTCCTAGTTGAAAAATGTGTATAATTTATCAAGTATTTGTTTGATTTCGAGGCTGCTTTAATTTTTTTAATGAGATAAAATGCTGAATGAGACTTGAAATATATTGTTTGATTATTTTTCAGCAATAAATGTATTTTTAATACACTGTAATTAATCGGTTAAGGAATAATAACCAATGTATAGATGGATGTGGAGTAAATGCTTACTTTTTATGCGTCAGGTAAGTTAATCTAAATGGGTTGTATATGAAAATTCTTTTTACATTGTTAAATTCTATAATATTAACATTATTTTCATTTATTTCTATGACAAGGAATAAAGCAGTTTGAAGATAATACCACGTTTAAATATAAATAAATTTAGTCGTATAATTATTTTTCCCTTTTTAATATCTTTCATTTGCTCTCCTGTACATCATAGAAGTTTATCCAAATAAAATAAAGCAAAATAAATCGTATAGCTTTTAAAGTTAAATATTAGTTTCATGATCTCTTATAAAGCTAACACTTCAATAATTTAGCTATTCGTAGTAAATTTAAATTAAATGGTCAGCTACCAAAATTTTACAAGAAAAAAATTCAGTGAAACAATTAAGAGTTTATATTTTATAAGTAAAAAAAAATATAAAATCTCAATCAAAAATTACGCTACCCTATGTTCGTCTAATATGCCAGTTTTTCCAGTAGTTGTGTATTTAAAATTTCTTATGTTTTTCGCAAGGCTTCATAAACATTTTATTCGATGTGATTTTGTTCTTAGACCATGTCTTCGACTATAGAAAAGTAATAAAATCTATTTTAATACGACCATAGAAGCTAGTTTGGGTGAATTATTTAGTCCAAATTAATTTAAGTAATTATTAGAACTATTAGACATAAGAAGAACAATTATTAGCTTAGTAAATTTTTAATTTGAAAATTCATCTTAATTTTAATAAATTAAAATCATTGATCAGTCAGTTTGACGAAGCACTGCTGTGTAATTATTTCGGTTTAAAGAGACGAATCTACCTACCTTTGCCGGAAATTCATTTATATCTCAAGCTGTAAGCTAGATGAGTTCTTCCATTCAGGAAGAAATTCTTTGGAATAACTAATTGATGAATAATGAAAAGACTGCTTGCTCCAAAAGCCTCCATTTCACTTGATTTTCCTTTGGCTTTCTCATGAATGACATATAATTACCAAATCTGCTGGTAGTTACAATAAATATGAAAATTATATTTTATTTAAATGTAAGAAAATAAAAACAAATATAAATAGAGTTTTGTTAACCATTTGAATGTCATCATTGATAAGTATATAAAACAATTCTGGGGGTTCAATGCATTCTTTGCATACAAAACATAAATTCTAGACAATTATTTGGAAGACAGTTTGTTTTTTTATTTATAACAAAGGTAAAAATTTTGTTAAATTGCTGAAATGGTGTTATAATTTATTATATTTGTATAATAAGCTATCGGCGTATATAATTAATTGGTATTATTAATAATGACAAAAATATTCCATATGTCTGTATCACAATGATGATAGACACCCCAGTCCCAGCAAATCTTTCAAAAATTGTTATTTCTTCAATTCTCCAAGTGATATTCAGAAAAATATATAAGATATGAATGGTGTTTTCCAATACAATACAATACTGTTTCGTGGGCATATTTTGTTTATATATCAAAAATATTATGTACATTTATCGTTGAAAAACTACTGATACTATCTATCTACTGGTAATATCTTTCCAGTACCTTAAATTCAACTATAATAAATATTGTCATGTAGCAATGAGGTAAAAAATATTAATTTTATAATATTGTTTCCCAAAACGAACTTCTTAGCATAAGAAAATTTCTTTTAATACTTTTAAGGCCAAGATAAGAATATGCTTAGCTGAGAGGCAAAAATCACTGAAGTGTTTGAAGTGATAGAAAACTTTCCAGTGACTTCTTGTAAGTATTTCTTCGCCTCTAAAAAGCGTTTTGGTTGTTGAGTTTCTTCTTAGTTATTAAGTTCCTAAGATTTCTTAATATTTATACCACAAGACTTAACTAATTCAAAACAATCTTCCTGCGTAGCAACAACTAATAAATAAACAAAATTTGTTATTCACATTTGTAATCTTATTATAAGAAATTATAATTAATAAGAATTTGTATAGACATTAACCTTTATCGATGACTTATTACAAAGGTAAAATCAATTTAATAGTATATTGACGCCACCTACTCTTCGGTAAAGATAATTGATAATAATTAATTGGATGTTGTTCAAAGGTAAGTGTGATTGCCCTAAATTAGGTGTACCTTACACACAATGTGTCTTTACATTGGAGCCTGTCAAAGTAAATTGGTTGCAATTAGAAACAGTACACTGTGTGAATAGATTTTGAAAAGGTTAAACTTATCATTAATGCATTTGTACTGTTAAAAACGTATATGAAATTCACAAACTTGCACTGAGTGATAATAATTAGCTCTTAGGAAACACGGAATACTATAAAAATAAACAGAACTCACAATTAATTGTATTTTTTATCGAAACGTTTTATTGATTAAGTATTTGCTAACTTATTAATTGATTGCAGTACTTAATTGATTAAGTGCTGATAACTTAAATTTGGCTCATGGTTTTGGTATGATAAATGAATTGTCGTTACTATTATTGATGTGTTTATAAATCCTATTTGATAAAATTGTGGTTTTAATTATGGTCCCAAAATGTTTTTACTGCAATTGTTTTACTGCATCTTTTCAATTGTTGTCTTCGTATACATATTTGAAGTGCGATGACGTCGGAAATTTCAAGTGCGGATAATTTGTTTAAATTAATCATAGTTAGTTTTTACTTTCATAGATTTGTCAAGAAATCCTTTTATAGATAGATTATATGCAATCTTACAAATGATTGACGTTGAATGGCACAAGACCAAAGTTTTAAATTATTTTCTTACAAAAAAGAGAAAATTGTGTATCATCATTATTAGCATATATAATTTAGACTGGTAATTAAAAATATTTTTTGTAAAAATCAAAAATTCTTACACCAATAATTACGACTTAAAGCTAGAGACCTGATTGCAATAACAAAATTGGGTGGCATATAATATGTATCTAAGTATTTCATAGTTTGTTTTATTTTTATAATAGTTATAATATTTCTTCGATCTACGATATTATAAAGCTTTTTAAGTTAAATGTGTACATACGCATAGCCTTCTGGAAACGTGGTAGCAGTTTATTTGGTATGTGGCAACATCGCACGGACTGGCCTATTGCCTCTTTTTATATGTCCCACCTTCATATCCTAGGACGCTAAGTTCTAGGCAGAAATTGTTTTACACATTACTTCAGGCTAATCCTAGAGGGTTGCAGCATTATCAAGTGGATAAAATCCATTGGTGATTGGTGGGATTTGAACCCGGGAACTCAGGTACCGAATCCCTGTGCTCCATCACTAAACCAGCTCACTCCCCATGGCCTATAGCTATGGCAAAAACACCAGTAACAAACGTGTAAAAGTAAACATTGTGAAGACACTCCATTATAAATTAGTGCAACAGCTGTTTCGTAAGGCCGCGTCTGCGATGTTGCCACTTCGTCTCACCGCGGCCTTGTATTGGAGGTTATGACGTGTGTTATACTCCAAGGACACCTTACTGCTGTAAATTAAAGTGACTTTTACACAGCCCTTCGCGTGGAGGAATTGTATTGCGTCACACACGCTATCCTCGAGGAAATGCGTAGAAATGAAACATGCAACACTGTTATAAGTTTTCTCATGTATACAGTTTTACGGCTTTCAGGTATTTATGGTTAATAATAAGTGGGAATCAAATTATGTAATAAATAAATAACCAAACAAAATTATAAACAAAAAAATGCATTGCTGCGTTTTTCCAATAGGTTACACAACAATTAATTGTTAGTAAATAACATGTAACAACTGACGCATTTATTTACTATTCAATATTATGTTTTTTTAATATAATCATTTGATTAAATTGCATGTCTTTAGGAGAGGGTTCATAGAAAAATTTTTATTTTTTTATTTTTTTATTTATTATATATTTTTATCCTAGACATTTCTCTTTATGACCATTGATTTGAGCACGGCAATAGAACTCTCTACATCTCTACATGTGAGCTTGCTATTTATTTCAAGGTTCGTGTTCCTAATTTACAATATAAAAAAGAAATCTCTAGTTATTATTAAATTCCGTTGGACAAACGCTAGTCCCGAATAATAAATATCAGTCACCAAAACTACCTCGTAATTATATCAAGAATACAAAAGCAATTATAATCATTGAATACAATAACAAAAAACCCAGTTAAGATTGCACAATAAAGGAGTTCAAAGGCCAGTTTAATTGGGTAATATTAGTAGTGACGTACACATACTGGATACACACCTATGTTTGTCAAAGGCAATTCATTATCTTCCACATTACGTGGTGTGGTTCGCAAATAAATAGTCAAAATATTTATTTTATAAAACGGCTTTGTATTTTTTTTTTATTATTTGTTGCGAATACGAACTAACATTAGGCAACTTAGGCATTTTAGCAACTCTTACATTCTCACGAAAAATAAGTTGTTGCATCAAACACGCAAACCCCAACGGGGATTTCGCAGAGATTTACTCCACCGTTAACGCCCATAATGCACCTAATTATTGATACTTTTATATGCTATATGGGCCTTGCCCATACAGCATGCCTTCGTTAACGATTGCAGTGTAATTTTAAATCTTATAACCCATCGCAGATAACGGGTTTAAACGTAAATCATAACGAAACTGAGTTTTATTACCTTCAGTTGCAAGCATTCGTATGTAAAAGTAGATTCATATTATTTTAATTTTTAGTGTG